AAATTTTATTTTTAGAATAGATTCTTTGCATAAGATAACACCAGCTCTATAACATCTCAACAGCTCCCTCCCACCCCCACCATAGTATACACCTTTTTGGCTACAGGAAGGGGCTTAAACCTACCCAGAATCAAGATGTGAAGATGTTGGCAGAGGCACAAGATGGGAGGAGATAAGGGCTGAAAAAATATGGGAGAAGCCAAAGAGTGCTGGGACAGAGAAAGGCAGGGGACACTCACCCAGCCTGGATGGCAGCTCTTAGGACCCAGCGCTGGTGGCAAGGAGCCCCCAGCTGGGGCCTTTCATCCTCCCGGCCAGCGTGGAGCCCTGAAAAAGGGTGAGAGAGATCAGAAATATGCAGGGAAGGCCAGGGATCAGGATCTGGCCTAAGAAGGGCTGGGGTTGCAGCTCCTGGAACCTGGTCCCTGCCCCCAACGCTCTACCAGCTGTGTGGCTGAATCCATGTTTAATGACTGTCCTCCCGGGAAACCCAGGGCCAAGGGCTTCCTGCCGGCACCATCTCTACTCTCGGCTCCCCCCAGTGCAGCCCAAAGGCTCAGCTCCTACCTTACCCCCACCTTCAACTGGTCTCCAACCCCGCCCGCCTGCCAGGTTAGGGATCTCACGGGTCAGGCCGCTGCTGGGATCCGGGCCGTTTCCTGGTGCAGGAGCTGGGAGGGAAGGAGAGAGGGAGGAAGGGAGGGAAGGAAGGAGGGAGGAGAAGGGGGGGGGCAGGAGGGAGGGCCTGGCGCCGGGTGATGATGGGGCCCAGAGATGCGTCCAGAGAGAGGGGCGGGGCCGCACACAGGCCTGGGAAGGCCACAACTCTGAAAGAGAGGGCCATTGAAGGCAGAGACACCATGGGCTGGACTGAGCTGAGCTGCTAAGCCTTGAGACTGCCCAGAGAAATACCCTGGACCTCAGAACATCGTGGTACAAATTCAGCATTTCTAGAAGGTCTCTGATATTCCATGCACTTGTTGAATTGTTCTAGCCCTGGATTGTATGCCTTAAAAAGAGGAGCAGTTCCCATTATACTGGAAACTTCCTGCCAGGTGCCTTGCCCTTATGGGACTAGCAAATACCACAAGGATACCAAAACTTTCCAATCCCTTTTTCCCCAGGGCCTTTAATCTGGTGGTCTCTTCCAGGGCTGAGGCTTTAATCAGGCATCAGGCAGGCAGGACTTAAATTCCAAGCAGTTTCTAAAGGTACTTTTCTTCATCTTCTTTTGTTATCAGATTGATTTCCTTTTAATCTTTTTTTTTTTTTTTTTTTTATCCAGCACATGAACCCATTCTCATGGGGAAAAAAAAAATCAAACAATAGAGAGATAGAGAGTAATCAAATACAAGTACTCAGCTATACACACACACATGTACCTGTCCAATTCCACCTCCCTCACTGTAGGTTGCCAATGATAAGGTTAATGTTTATCTTTCTAGATTACATATATGTATATTATTTATAAATGGCAATACATTTATAAAGGGCAGTTCACAAGACATGAAGCAGTTTCACCACAAAAGATCTACATGAGGGTGCTCACAAGCTTTCGACTCCAAGGCCACCCAGGGCTCTTGGAGTTGACAATTCCACAACTCCATTTGGAGAGAGCCCCAGCCAAAGGCCAGAAAGTGGCAGTCCAATTCTACTTTCCTTTGGTTCTTTTCCATTTATTCTGACAGAATCCACACCCTTTGCATCTACCTCCAATCCAATCCTTGATGCTCTCACCTGTTCTTACGGTCAAGAAAGAAGCAAAGTCCTCTGTATAACAATAATAGTAACTAACATATTGTAAGGGCTTACCAGGTGCTCAGTGCTTTCTTTATATGTGTAATAGTTTATTCTAATCAGGTGCTGTGATACATGCTTGTGATCCCAGCTACTTGGGAGGCTAAGGCAGGAAGACTGCAATTTCAAGGGAAAACCTGGGCAATTTAAGTGAGATCCTGTCTCAAAATTTAAAAAAAAAAAAAAAAAAGTTGGAGATATAGCTCTATGGTACACTGCTTGTAGGCTCTAGGTTCAATGCCCAGTAGCACAAAAAATAAATAAATAAATAAAATAAAAATTATCCTCACATCAACCCTTATGCTATTTTATCCTTTCTACAGATGAGGAAATTGAAGCTTGGAAAGGTTGAGTAATTTGCCCAAAGCCATATACTAATAAGGAAAGAAACTGCCACTTAACCTAAATCTGTCTGACCTCAAGATCATCTCTTCCCTTTCAAGTAGTCAATGTTATTCTGACAGAATCCACACTATTTACAAGACCACACTCAATTCTCTTTGTTTTTCCTTTTGTGGAGGCTGGCCTCAAGCTTGCAGTCCTTCTGCTTCAACTACTCAAATAGCTAGGATTAGTGGTATGCACTACCATGGCTGGTACCACACTTAATTCTCTATTCCATTCTGAATGTACAACCAAATCCACTTCTTTATAGCTTTCTCTTTCAACCATGCTCCTTTCTTCTTTGCTCTTGAGCTGATTCTTCTAGCTGCCACCAGGAAGACTGCCCACTTCTTTTCAGGCTAACCTAGTTAAGTCCTCTATTTGCAATCCTGGTTTCTTCTAAGACAATTACTTGTGATAAATCACAAGTTTTTAATTTCAAGTAAATGTCTTAAGTGTCCAAATATATTTGCCTTTTTTATTTATAAGCCTCAAGAGCTAGAACTACTGACGTTTATTCACTTTTGTGTCCTTGTGGCCAAATAGGCCTCCAGTAAACGTTGACTGAATGAATCAATTGACACCTCTGGCCAATTATTGAATAGTCCCAGCCAGACATTTGAAGACTGCTGCAGTAGCTGCATAAGAAAGAAAAACTGAGCAGGACACAGTGATGCATGCCTGTAATCCTATCCACTTGGGAGTAGGAGGCAGGAGATCTCACAAGTTGGAGATCAGCCTTGGCAACTCAGAGAGAACCTGTCTTAAAATAAAATAAAAAGGTCTGGGGATATAAGCTCAATGATAGAGCACTTGCCTACTAGTACAAGGTTCTGGATTCAGTCCACAGTACAACACACACAAAGAAAGAAAGGAAAGAAGGAAAAAGATATTTGATTTGGAATAAAGATTCAGTGTCAGTCTGAGCTACCAGCAAAACAGAGCTATAACTTATACCCGGTCCAAAGCTATGTATCTCAAGTATCTTCTCAGATCAACACTGCAGAGCCAAGGTATAGCACAAAGCAACAAAGCCTTTGCCAGAAAAACCTGAGGTCACAAAGGCTGACCTTCATCTATTTTACTTCAATGACACATTGTTTTACCAAAGCAAGGAAAATCCTTTTATACTGCTTGACTGTAACCTTAATTAGCATATGATTATTTTACATCATAAGATATGAAGAAAATATGTTCATAGATTTAATATGTATGTGTAAAATAAGAACATAAAACTCAATATGGTTTTAAAAACAAGTTCTGACTAAATAGCATTACTATGGATGATACTGGTGTGAAAATGCAACAGGCATGAATTGTAGATAGTAAGATAGCATGTATCACTGTTTATTTCCAACCTAGGGGTTGTAATTTTTCAAACTACCTGCTGTTCTAAATTTAGATATTTTATTTCCACTCTAACATTTCCTATTTTAATATTCTAAAGATGTTAACATTATCATTAAATGTTTCAATTTTGTATAACAAAATGGAAAGAAAGTGAATTCTAGAAATGGACTGCTGAGGTTCCAATTCCAGATCCCCAATTATTAACTCTGTGTCCTTGGGGAAGGGTCCTAACCCTTTTCTCCCTTGATAAACTTACCTGTAAAATAGGCCTAATAGTACTCCCTATTCCTATGATGATTGTATTTTGTAAGTTAATATTTGTAAAACTCTCAAAACAGTACATAGCACATCGTGCTACATAAGATCAGTAGGGAAGTTAGAAAAAAAAATAAATATACTTCACATGTTTTTTTTTCACTAACATAGGGGAGAATAAAAGGAGAAAAAGCCAATCCTACAACCTTCAGTCCAGTGAGCTCCCACTGGAACTAGAACCCTACAGTCCCAGCTCCAAGAGTTATTCTGTGCTCACTCATTTAATACTTTGATGACTTACCATGTGCTAAACTGATCATAAATCATACAGTGTGTTTCCTCAAAGAGTTTACAGTTGGGTTAGAGATCAGAACTCTAAGCTAAGTGTGGTGGTGTAAGCCTGTAATCCTAGTGACTTAGCTGAGACAGGAGGATCATAAGTTTGAGACCAGCCTCAGTAATTTAGTAAGGCCCTCAGAAACTTAATGAGACTCTGTCTCAAAATTAAAAATAAGTGCTGGGGGGAATGGCTCGATACTAGGTTGAAACCCTAGTATCAAAACAAATTTTAGAAAATCAGAATTTTAACCCACTTTTTCAGAGGTGAGAAAACAGAGGTTCAGAGAAGTTGTGTCTTGCTCAAGGTCACAAAGCTAAACAGTCCCAGACCTGGGACTAGGCTGTAGGTTTTTCCCACTGCTCAGTTCCAGCCTCTTTCCACTGGGTCAACCACCAATCCTTTTGAGTGCAATGTCATACCCTCTATTTGAAATTCTATCTAGTGTTCATGATTTTCCCTCCTTTGCACCCACTGTCACCCCCCCTCCCACGCCTGGGCAAAAGAAAAAAAAAGTGAGACCTGAAGACAATCACACTCTGGGTGTTTTGAACCTTCAAAATAATGAAAGGTTACCTTTTCGTTCCTGTATTAACCCTTTCCGTGCCAGAAAGGTTGAGGATTTTTTTTTTAAGGGGCTTGGTGGCTTCACTTGGGATCAAAAGGATGGAGTCCCCGCCCCCTGGTGCAGCAGTTAAGACTGATACCAAGCCACCTGTCAGAGGGTTGGGGGCGGGGGCGGGGTCCGGGACTGAGGCCCGCAGAACCCAAGGGTGAGCGTCGTGGAGCGCACGCTCAGAGCACACATCTCATAGGAGGAAGGATGTGACAGTCCAAAACCCTGGGAGCTGACGGTCAGAGAGAGGGAAAGGTGGTTACGGAGACCATGCAGAGCAACGGGAGGTGGAGGATCCCGGAGGTGACAGCAAGGAGAGTACGCAACGGCTAGGGGAATCTGAAGTGGGCCCAGGTGACTTCTGTGAGGACGCAGGGCAAGCGGGCAAAAGGAAGGGAAGGCAGCCCCGGGGTGCTGCAGACCAGCCCCGCTGGTGCGGGAGATAACATGTCCGGCGAGCGGCCCCCCCGCACCGACATACCCCGCAACCTCAGCTTTATAGCTGCGCTGACCGAGCGTGCCTACTACCGCAGCCAGCGGCCCAGCCTCGAGGAGGAGCCGGAGGAGGAGCCAGCCGAGGGCGGGACGCGTCTGGGGGCCCGATCCCGCGCTCACGCTCCGAGTCGGGGTCGCCGGGCCCGTTCCGCACCCGCCGGAGGCGGCGGGGCCCGGGCACCCCGCAGCCGAAGCCCGGACACCCGCAAGAGAGTGCGTTTCGCTGACGCGCTGGGGCTGGAGCTGGCCGCGGTGCGCCGCTTCCGCCCCGGAGAGCTGCCCCGGGTACCCCGCCACGTGCAGATCCAGCTGCAAAGAGACGCCCTCCGCCACTTCGCGCCTTGTCAGCCGCGCTCCCGAAGCCTCCAGGTAGGCGGCCGGGGCACGTCCCCACTCCCCGGGACCTGTCCCTATCGGCCGCGGCGGTCGTACGAGAGTGGATTTGTCAAGGAACACACCCATCCCCAACCATAGGCTTGCGCCTGTTTAGCCCTTTTGAGGTCCATTCGCTTAGGACTCTAGGCCACTCTTCAGCTGGGCCCCACTCTGCTGTCCCGGACGTCGCGTCGGCCTCTGATTGGTCCAGTGTCCCGCTCTGACCCCGCCTCCTTCTCTTCCCACTCCCCGCCCCGTGCTCCCTCCTCCCTGTCCTTTTTTTCCACTCCCACAGGAGGCGCGCGCAGCCCTAGAGCCGGCCAGCGAGCCCGGCTTCGCCGCCCGCTTACAGGCGCAGCGCATCTGCTTGGAGCGCGCTGAGGCGGGCCCACTGGGCGTGGCTGGGAGCGCGCGCGTGCTGGACCTGGCCTACGAGAAGCGCGTTAGCGTGCGCTGGAGCGCCGACGGCTGGAGAAGCCAGCGCGAAGCGCTCGCCGCTTACGCCGGCCCGGCCCCGCCCCCTCCGCGAGCAGATCGTTTCGCCTTCCGTCTTCCAGCGCCGCCCATTGGGGGCGCCCTGCTCTTCGCCCTACGCTACCGTGTGACCGGTCGCGAGTTCTGGGACAACAACGGCGGCCGTGACTATGCTCTGCGTGGGCCCGAGCATCCGGGCAGTGCCGGAGCCCCGGAGCCCCAGGGCTGGATCCACTTTATCTAAGACAAGACTTCCGCAGCCCGTGGCAGAAAAAAACTAAGGCACCTGGGGGGCAGGGGAAAACCAATGTGGTGGGAGGAGTGGGAGAAACTTAGATTGACCGGGAGAGGTCCCAGTCAGGTGGGGGAGGGCGAGGAAGGTGGGAGAAATCAACAAGGTTTGGGGAACTCGAGGTGGAAAATGCTGGCTGGATGTGAGTGAAAAGAACCCAAGGCAAGGGAGAAAGGAAACCAGAGGGATTAGAAGAAAGCTAAAGAAGGGGGATGATGGTAGCCTCTTTAATGAATGGTCACTGGGAGAGAGTGAGTTGCAGGCCTAGGCAGTCAAATGTTAGGAAAGTCTTTGGGTTTGAGGAGGCATTATGGATTGAGGAGGTGTGACGTGTGAAATAATCCATCCCATTTGAAGTCAACGGATTGCTGGTTTATTTCCGTTTTTTGGCCTTTGCCACCTCAGGTCCCTCAGTTTGCCCATCCTAGTTTTATCTCAGCTATAATTGCCTTGCTTAATCCTAGGAACTTGGCCATTGCTCCTTCTGGACCCTGGCATGACAGGATTCCCTTATCACCCGACAGTTCCTCCCTAAAATTTTCATGTATTGGCTGGGGAATGATGACAGGTAGAACTATTTTCTCCGTCCTCCAGGCAAGTTCCGGATTATAATCGAGGCAAAAGCAACCCCAGCCTGTCCTTGTAGCCCAATAATGGGGCACCTAAGGTGTTGATTTACTCAGGGGCTTCCAGAAAAATGTCAGCCTTATATTTCTGGGTACCTTTTAATAACCTCTAAGCACTTTATGGACTGTTGTCAAGGAATAGTGAATCAAAAAATCACTATTCTGATTTGTTGCTTCTGGTTTAGAAGAAAAAGAAGTCACTGACTGGCTGTACAACTTTAAGCAAGTTGTACTTCTTTGGGCCCCACTTTGCTTCTTGGGAAATTGGATTTGGTTTATGTAGTTCTTTTACAGCTCCATTTTGTTTGACATTTTATCATCTGCATTGTATAGTGTAGATTAGAAGCCACATTTTTCAACCTTTTACTATAGTTCAGGAGACAAACCCTGAGCTTATGGTTGTGGCTGAGGAGGGGTCCTCCAGTTTTGGGCAAGAATGTTTCAGAACCCAGAAAGTATTCCACAATCACCCGGTAGCGTCTTCCCAACCATGGCACATCTACTGCCCCTTGCTTTTTGCTCTTGCCTCCAGAGATTTCCAGCCTGGATGATCTGAGACAGCTTTGGGGAGGTATATCTGAGTTGGGAATATGATTGAGAGCCCCCAAATGAAAGGAAACAATGCCAGGATCTCTCTTGAGAATAAAGAATGGAAAACATCAAGAATGAGAGCAACTTGACAAATGACACCAGAAAATGGCAGTCTTATCCATATTCTGAGCCAGTGAAATGGGAAAGCTGACTCTTCTACCCATTCCCATTCATGTCTCTCTTGGTTAACCTTAACATGGGAGTTATTTCTTTCCTGGTTGCTTAGTTTCCTTTCCTCTTACCCTATACCTAACCTCTTTGCTTTTTGCTTTTTTTCTTGTTCCTCTCCCTTTTCATCACTTTTTTTTTCCTTTGAACATGTAAGGTATTTACTTTTATTCTAGGTCATTTACCTATATTTTCTCCCTTTCCCTCTTCATTCTTAGTTGATCTCTGCTATTCCTTCTTCCTCCAGAAGGGGTAGAGAGTCTACTTCCTTTTCTCCAAGACCATGGTTGATCCACCTTCCTCCCTCAGGCTCCTTCTTGACAGTCTTCTAAAGGGAGAAAAGGGGAAAGAAGCAGTTCCTGTTGTTACAGATGAACAAGGAGCTTTAAGGTAACCAGCTTCCCACATCCTTTTTCATTACTAATTTTTCAAAAACTTCTGTCTCCCCTTATTCTGTGATTCTGAGTGAAGGGGGCATGTACATGTGCCCACACATGTATTCAGAATAAAATATGGGATTTGTTTAAATGCTTTTACTGTTCACAGCCTTAATCCTTTGAGGCAAGAAAGGAACTCTGGATCTTTACTCAAGCAAATCATCATAATCTTGTGGGGAAAAAAAGAATTTCATGTATCTTGTAGGTCAACCTCAGGTCAGAGTTCCAGCAAAGTGAAGAAAGAAATTACTGGAAGTCACCAAGCAATGCACGGTTTAGTCATCAGTGAGAACCCAGGAAGTCTGGGTTGAGGTTCATTTTCTAATAATGTCTTGCCTGACTTGTATGTGTTACCGTTATATCATATTAATAGTAGTAATAGCCCATTTTCTTAACATTTATCTGCTAAAATCTGTTTTATGTGCATGCTCAAAATAATCCTGAGTATCAGTATCATTATTCCTCTTCTATTAAAGATAAGCCCTGGAGAAACTCTAGTCTTGTTCAAGATCTCACAGCTATGCAGGGTGCAGTGGCACACTCCATAATCCCAGTGACTCAGGAGGCTGAAACAGGAGGATTGCACATTCAAGGCTAGCCTCTGAAATTTAATGAGACCCTGTTTTAAAATAAAAAGGACAGGGGATATAGATCAGTGGTAAAGTGCTCCTGGATTCAATCCCTAGTACAAACAAAAAAACCAAAAAAACAGACAGCTAGTACATGAATTGTGAACCCAAGAAATCTGCAGAGCCCATGTGCATAACCATGATATTGCATTCTTATTTTTTTTTTAGTTGTAGTTTTTATGTGGTGCTGGGGATGAACCCAGTGCCTCATGCATGCTAGGCAAGTGCTCTACCACTGAGCCACAACCCGTTCCCTAGATTCTTATTCTTTAAAAATTACAAAATTAAAAATATTGCTATGTCATCTCTTAATAAGAAAAAAGCATAATTCCTGATTGTGCTCTGCTTTCCCATCTTCCCATTTCCCTGAACTGACTTGGAGAAGATATTAAGAGCCCTAGGCTTCATCTGTTCCTCCCAGGAATTTGCTGCTATCTCCTATGCCAGATCTGCAGGATCAACAAGGGCCCATCCATCTGTGTGCTAGAAAAGTTGGAAACCTGTTCATACTCCAGCCTTTCTGTACATTGGGATTCTCTTGTACATTGGCTGTCGCCAATCCTCCATACTTGTTAATGTGCCACCACCTCTCCTTTCCCACTATCCTTGAAGGTCAATTCCCTGGTGTTTCCATTAGAAAGGTCCTTAGCTAGGGTGTGGGCCTGGGCTCACTGGGATCTCTAGTATTACTAAGTGGATAAAATGCCAACTCTGATCAGAGAAAAGGAACTAGGGATAATCCTAATCCCCTGAGCTCTTTCTCTGAAAGAATTAGTGGCTCAGTCATAGTCCTGTTCTCAGCTTTATAGAATAACATGTGAATCTGGAGCTGGAGATATAACTCAGTCGGTAGAGTGCTTGCCTCACATGCACCAAGGCCCTGGGTTCAATCCCCAGCACCACAACGAAAAAAAAAAGAATAATGAGAATCTTCCAGTTCTTCCCATATTAAACTGTTGCAGGGCTTGGGAGTAAGCTGACAGTTTTCCCCATTGTTGCCCCAAGATGGGGGCCTGGGCTGAGCCTCCTTGCACACATGCATAATGGGTGCTTCATATTTTAAATGTGGACTTAAACAACTAACAGTATCACCAAGCCTTGTAAAATAGGGAAGAAACAAATACCTTGAGAGACTTTTGTATGCCTGGTCCTTTTGAGATTGTCTGAAGAGATTTCCTACCCAGATGCTTTTGGTATGTACTACTGCTCCAGGATATGTCCCTGTAGCCTGGCTTTTCCTCACCTTGGGTTGAGCTACCAATATTAGGCCATATCCCCTTTCCATCAAGTCCCATCCATATTTCTTACACAGGAGGGTAAGCACAGAAGGGTACACCTAGACTGCTGCAACCTGTGACTTTTCCTAGCTAGTGACATGGGAAAGTTTGACTGAATCTTTCATGGGGCAGGGGCCCTATTATATGTTATGCATTAAGCAATTATGGTGAAGACTCTAAAAACTGATGGTTTATGAATAGGAACAATTTGGAATATAACATGGTAGTCATGAACTAGGAAGAGCCACAAGAGAAGTCAGGGAGTTGATCCTTAAACAACCCTCTAGGAAGGAACACTGTGTCTCTTTTCTCATCCAGAACTCAGAAATTGTCCTACACTTGTCCTATAGCCTTCTTCTGTTCCTTTGTTTCTCTTTATGATTGTAGTTCATCACTTCTCTACATAATAAGCCCTATCTGATCAACTTTTTTCATAGAGTTGTAAAAGTCTAATTCCCACATTTCCTTGCTTCTAACTCCTGTGTTTCTCTGGAGTTCCTTTGGATCTTGTTAATACAGGTTATAACATCAGAGACCTGAAAGGCTTATCTTAGAAACCATTAGGTTGAGGCTTCTTTACAGAGGAGCACACAGGTCCAGAGATGAGAACTAACCTCATCAGGATCAGATAATTTGTGTGACTGAAAATGGGCTTAACTCAGCTTCCTGACTATATTATATTACCAGGCTGAGTTAGGTGTGGTGGTACACATCCTAGCAGCTCGGAATGCTGAGGCAGGAGGATCACAAGTTCAAAACCAGTCTCAACAACTGAGAAGGCCCTAAGCTACTTAGTGAAACCCTGTCTCAAAAAATAATACGTATGTATATGTATATGTGTGTGTGTATACACACACACACACACATACATACACACACACACCCTGACTGAGGAACAGCCCCAAGATTTTTCATAAGAGATAATAATGTTTTATTTTTTTTCCTACTGGTTTCCATTCCCTTCCTCTTCCAAGCATAAAGAAAAACAAAGGATTGTTTCCCAACTTTGGGAATTCTTTTGGAGATACTGCCAAAGAGCACTGACCTTGAGACTGAATAGTCCACCTATTGAATAGCAAACCCAGGGAAAGAATGAAAATTTGCTATGCAAATCCCCCCAAAACTAATGTTCTCACCAGGTCCTCTCAGAGTTTCCCCCAAACCCATTCCAGTAGTATTGTGCCTCAGTTCAAATTCCTCATGCAGTTGCCATTCCTTCTGGGTACAAAACTTCATATTTGAAATAAAGTTGAAATCTGAAAATAAAATATGAGGTACTTGGAAGTATTTTTTGTTTTGGACTGAGATAGCAAGGGATTCAGAACAAGATTCCCTCCCTGAAAACCCCCTCCAAATTACTTTCATTTCTTAAAAGTCATTTCATTTCTTAAAATTCCTATTCCTATTCTGCTGGAGAATAGGCTCTGTATAAGTTGTATGGGAAGGAGATATGGAGGAGTTGGGCAGCCCTGGTATAAGATAGCCCAACAGGATCCCACCACCATTTGGCATGGTGAGAAAGTCACCAGGGCCTAGCTGACACCCAGCACCAGCTGCTGGTGCGTTTAAAGGGAACAGATTGGGAAAAGCCCTATTTCCTATTGAGTTGGGGATCTTCTTCCTTAAGAAGCCATCTGTGTTGTATTCTGCTCCTTAAATATTGAAAGGGGAGATTAAATCCCTTTGCTTATCAAGGGCAACCCAAAAATAAAGGATGAGAAATATGTAGAAAAGCAAGAACCTCTGTCTGACCCATAATGGAATGATAAAAATAAATATCAAAGTACTTGCACAAAAGATCAAGTTCTAACAGGATTGACTCCCACATCACCTGAATGATGGAAGAATCCAGTTACTCACAAGGTAATGAGACAACAATGTTCCTCATAGGGAAGCACCAGCTGGAGCATAATCAGATGCCTCCTCATTACATCATAATGGCCAAGTTGTGATGTCACTGCAGAGCACCTACTCTTTCTTGGGTATTGTAAGTGAAACCAGATATGTTGAAGGGAAGAGTCAGCATGAGGAGCAGGCACCCAAGGAGAGGTGAGTGTGGAGCTGTTCAGGGGTTCTCTCCATAACCTATTGCCTAGGGGCTCTGTGGCCCTGACCTCTTTTCCAGATGTCTGACATCGTAATTTAGCAATAGATTTGTCTGAACCCTTTCTTTCACAAACAACTTCAATGCAACCTTTGCTAATATAAGTCTACCCCAAATTCTTTTTTTTTTAAATTTCTTTTAGTTGTACACAATACCTTTGTTTTTCATTTACTTATTTTTATATGGTGCTGAGGATCGAACCCAGGGCCTCGCACGCACTAGGCAAGCACTCTACCACTGAGCCACAACCCCAGCCCATACCCCAAATTCTTAATACTCATACTTCTGTCTAGTTAGCCCTCTTGCTTCCTGTAACATGTTACTTTAGTATTTTCTAGAAGTCAAGATACAGAATGCTGGAGCACAGTTCCCCTAATTGGGATAGAAACTCACCATATCCATTTGGATAGTACCAGGGATAGATTTCAGTTTTCTGGATGCCTGAGGATACAATTTTTTTGGAGCCCCTTTTAAGAAAAAGTAAATGCAAAATCACAAATTTCTAATTTAAAAAAGACTTGTGTGTGTATTTTTTAAATGAGAAAAGATCTCAAGAAATTGGAATTTTTAAAAATCTGCCAAAAAATTATCTGCCTGGCAAACCTATACAATTTTTTCTATAATTCTTTTTTTTGAGATACACACTCTTTAATAGCCTTTTCAAATCTTTTTTTTTTTTTTTTTTTTAAATCCGATTCTGGGGAATGAACCCAGGGACATTGAACCACATCCCCAACCCTTATTTGTATGTTATTTAGAGACAGGGTCTCACTGAGTTGCTTAGGGCCTCGCTAAATTGCTAAGGCTTGAAATCCTTCTGCCTCAGCCTCCCAAGCCACTGGGATTACAGGTATGTGCCACTTACAGGTTATGTGCCCAGCTCATATCATTATTATATAAAGTTTCCTATAAAGAAGCTAGGTGCAGTGGCATATGCCTGTAATCCCAGCTACTTGGGAAGCTGAGGCAGGAGGATTGAAAATTTGAGGTCATCCTGGACAATTTGGCAAGGCCCTGTCAAAAAAAAAGGGAAAGAGCTGTGAGTGTAGCACATTAGTAGTAGAGTGTCCCTGGGTTTAATCACTAGTACAACAAAAATAAGTAAAATAAAAAGGATTGGGGCTGTAACTCAGAGGTACAGTATTTGCCTAGCATGCAGAAGTCCCTAGGTAACTCCCCAGTATTGGGAAGGGAAAAAAAAAGGAAAAAGAAAATTCAGTCTTCTTAGCACACTTTGTGGGGTTTTTGTTGTTTTTAAATTTTTTTTTTTCCAGCACTGGGGATTGAACCCAGGGGCACTCTACCATTGAGCTACATCTCAGGATCTTTTTTTATTTTTGAAAACAGGGTCTTGCTGAATTGCCCAGGGAACCTCGAACTTGAATCTTTCTGCCTCAGTCTCCCTAGTAGTTGGGATTACAACCACCATGCCTGGCTATAAATGACTGTTACAAAAACCTTTAGGATTTTTCAAACTTTCTTTCAGAAATATGATGTAAGATTTTGGAGTATTTTAAATTTGCAATGACTAATTGAGTCTTTGAATTGATGACATTATTCTTGGAAGCTATGTATTAGTTTTCTAGGACTGCTGTAATGAAACAGCACAGACTGAGTGGCTTAAACAGAAATCTGTTGCCTCAGTTCTGGAGATTAGGAGTCCAACATCAAGGTATTGATATTATTCTGAGGCCTCTTTCGTTGGCTTGAAGATAGCCCTCTTCCATACATCTTCATGTGGTCTTTCCTCTGTGCATATGTTAGACCAAGACGCAAGAAAAGACCACTTACTCCAAATAAAATCAAATTAAAGCAAGCTTATTATTTCGACCGGCTGGGCTGCCTCTCCCACCCAAAACCGCGGGAACAAGATAGCAGCTGCAGCTTTCCTGCAGCCCAGCTTTATTATAGCCCAGCAAGTTACACAAAGGGGGGTTACAGATAACAAAACTCTGATGAGTATAACACAAATGATAGTTTTGCTGGCCCCAACATCAGAATTTATGAGGGTCATTAGAGCCTCAGAAAGGGTCGTTATCTGGCCAGGGAAGGCCAATATTTATGAGACGTCACTAAAGTTTCAGAGAAGGCTGCTATCTGGTCAGAGAGCCAGGCATGGGTGAGTTCAAGGCACAGGCAGGCATTCCAAGCAGGTTCAGAATTTGCAGTAATTTATAGTAAAGCCAAAATTAGCTTTTCATGGCTTTGTGGTGAGATGGCTCCCAATTTTAAAAGAAAATCGGATACTTAATTTATTAGACATTTAGACATTTCTATGTCTAAATTTCCTCTTCTGGGCAACAGTCATATTGTATTAGAACCTACCCTAAAGACTTCATTTTAACTTATTTTTAAAGATCTTATCTTCAAATAGTTACATTCTGAGGCACTGGAGGTTACTACTTTAACATGAGCTTAGTGGGTACACAGTTCAGTCTATAGTACTATATCTACACGCAGATAATTTATTCACAAAAGCAACTACAAACCATGTTATATACCAGCTAAACCCAAAGTGTATCCCCAACTCAGCTTCCTTAGCCAATCCCCAAATGTCCATGGCTTCTCTACTGCCAACTAACAAAAGGGGAAATGTGATGCAGGGGAAGTCAGAAAGGAAAAAGACATCAATCTTTATTTTTTGGTACCATGGGTTGAACCCAGTGGTGCATAACCATTGATGAGCCGTATCCCCAGCTCTTTTTATTTTTTTGTTTTGAGAAAGGATCTCACTAAGTTGCTTAAAGCCTTACTAAGTTTCTGAGGCTGGCCTAGAACTTGCAATCCTCCTGCCTCAGCCTCCCAGTCTCTGTGATTACAGGTGTGTACTACAACACCTGGCTTTGAGACATCAATCTTAATTACAGTTTAAATATATTTAAAATTTTACAAAAACAGCCTCATTAACAGATTGTTGGGTCTCCTCCAGTGCCTTGGAAGATGGACATTAACATCTCTATATTGAGGATGACATGAGTCCTCATTCTTCAGCACAAATTCCTGGAAAAGTTGGGAGGTTATTGTCTTGCTAAAGGTGGAATCCTCAGTTCAATTATTAGAGTCTAGATCTCTTCCTATTGTCCATTTTACCACCCTGTCCACTGAGTCTTCTAAATCTACAGGGTGGACTAGGGAGATTGCTCAGTGATAAGAGTGCTTGAATAGCATGCATGTTGTTGTTTTTGCACTACAAAAACAACAATAAAAACAAAAAATACCTGCATAAAAATCATTGGGGTGAAACTCACAAGAAAGAAGCTTCAGTCTGCACTTCAGAACTGGATCAGGGGAGTGACTTCCTATAATGAATTCTTCCCTCTGTTGCCACTCCTGACTCTTGAGAATGTGTCTTGAGAAAAGAAAGTTGACAAAGTTGTCTACCTTTTACAACTCCAGGCCCATGAACTGCAATGCCCAGAATGACTTACCAAACCCTCCAGATCAGGCGCTTAGTTCTCACAGGCAATTCTGCCTAGCTTTCCAGCCAAACAAGCATGAATTCTTCCCAGTTAATCCAGTCTAATAAAATGCTTGGATTATGAGGGAATGACCTCTCCACTAGTAACAGAGAGTTGCTGCTACCTGAAATGTTTTCCCTTAATTACATATGGATCTAATGGATCGCGGAAATAATCGTGATTTAGGAGAAAGTCTTTTAGATACCACTAATTGCCGCAGTCTGGCTGGGCACAATTCAGGAGCCACTTATCAAGCACTAACGAACTTTATTTTTAGCATGCACACCTTTGGCACTTTTTGCCAGCACCTCAACCGGCACTATTCCCGCTCTTGAGGCCGATTGGCTGGGTCACATGGGCGGAGCCAAAAGAGTCCCCCAATGAGCAGCTCCATAGTCTGAAAGGGCGGGGAAATAGCCCAATGAGCTTCACCCAGAGGAGCCAATCAGCTGGAAGTTTGCTGGGGCCACGTGAGCCAATCAGCTGGAAGTTTGCTGGGGCCACTTTGACTACGGCTCTCAACAACTAATCCTGGCTCAAACCTCAGGGTATCAAGAGTTTCTAGCCTTAAAGATGAGTGTATATGTCTTTCTATTGGTTACCCCATATTTTTGCCAGATGTTAGTTTGAAGGAAGTAGGATGGCTGTTAGAAATTGCTATTGTTACCAAATGTAATGAGGAGGGTTGGGGAGGCAGGGGCAAAGAAGGGGACAGCAATAGAAAATAAAGCTCAGCGCTGAAGCAGGTAAGTTTAAGATGTGTGGCAACCTCAAAAGAGCTCTAAGACTGAGTGGAACAATGAAGAACGAAAAGTAGTTTTGTGGTTGGTTTTGGGAGACATGTAAGGAGAGGGAAGTTGTGAGGTCTGAGAATATAGGGCAGAGTCTGAAGTTTTCTATTAAATGACCTAAATAGGCAAGATGGGGCTTTTTCAAAGACCTATATGAGAATAGATGAGTCACTTCTGAAGTTATGGCTTCTACGTTTTAGTCAGAAGATGGTGAATCCCAAATATATAAATTTTGGCCCAGAATTTCATACTATAAAGGATAATGCTTCATTTTATTGTCAACCCTCTCTCAATAGTGTAAACCAAGGCACCCAAATATGAGGCACAGGTCCAGGTCTTCTTTACCAGGACAGGGAGGGAAGCCTGAGAGTTTGGTAAGTCCCAAAGAGGGACCGCTCCAGCACTTCGTCCTTGAGAACACCTGTCTGGTGCCAGTTTGATCCAGGAAGCGGCCCGTCTTTGGGCTCGTTTTTTCGGGTGGCAAGACATCTGACCCACCTCGAGAACAAGTTCCCTGTTGCTTTACACACTTCGCTATAGCTAAAGCTGCTGGCGGCGGTTGGGCTCTCAGCTGGGGAAGGCACAGCTCACATGTACCCCGGGGAAGGGGATGTTACGATCTGCGGAGGGCTTCCCGCAGGAGGAAACAAATGGAAGTTGCTGGTGGTCCAGACAGTTTAGCAAGGGACATTTCTGGGAGGAAAGTGGCTCGTACTCAGAAGGTCCAGTGCGAATAGGTGGAGAGTACCATTCACAGCACTCTGGTACCGGGGGACATCTTCCCTGCCTCACACATCCAATAGCTAACCCGCAGAGGTCCACGTAGCCAATTGCAGACTTCAGCTGAGATCCACGCAGCCAATGGCCGGCCCAGTGCGCTGCGCTGGTGCCCGCCCGCCTGCGACCGCCAATAAGGACTCAGGCCACCTTCGCACCGCCCCACCCATCCGCCCCGCCTCCAAGTAGCTAGAGCTGGGAGGGCAGGGCCAGGGACGCTCTTGGGGCGGGGGTAGGGGGGGGGGGACAGTCAGGTCCTGGCCCTCCGCGCGGGTGGGCTCGGAGCAGGCCGCACGGGGCAGCAGCATCACTCCCACCTGGAGGCTCCCTGCCCTGTTCCCCTCTTACCCACCCACACCCGGCCCATGGTGCGAGGCTGGGAGCCGCCGCCCGGGCTGGACCGCGGTGAGTGATCCCCAGCCCCTTGGACTTCCCTTCCCAGCCGGTGTACAATCTCCGACCCTCAGATCCCCATTCTCCTGGAGGAGAATAGTAGGTTCGAAGTCGTCCGATTCTCTCCGCTTTCTTCTCAGGACTTTTTGATTCCTCCTGTTGTAACGGGGGAGAGGGGGTGTGTAGGGAGGAGGGGAAGGTTGGGTTGGGACGCCCTTGGAGAGGAAAGGATTGAGATTCGTTTGCCTCCTGGGGCTCACCATCCCAAGTGTAGCAACTTTTTGTTCTCTGACCCAGTTCAGAGCCTTCTAGACAGCTTGTGAAATGGAGGATAGGAGAAACGTTTCCTTCCCAGGCCTTCCCTCCCACCCTATCCCCATGACTACCTCAACACACGTACAGAACCTGAATTTACTTCTGGGGAGCAGTGGCCTTTGGGAATGAAAGGTTTAGAAAAAGCTGCCCCTTCTTACTCCCGTGCCCAGCTGTAGTCAGAAAACCAACCAGGAAACTGAGAGTCCGAGTCCTCAGAGGTTCCTGGTGTTGCGTACTAGTCTGAGACTTCTAAACTGAAAGAAGACTAAAGCTGAGACCCGTTTGGGCCCAAATCAGGAGATCTTTTTTATTCTATGAGCCTCCTTTATCATTCATCTGAAGACCTTTTATATGATTAGACAGACGGCAGTAACTGAAAAAGTTGGGAAGTTAAAAATAATGCATACATATCTTAATATAATTCAAAGTACATTCGTTTCACAGGCCTTTTGGTGTAGTGCTGAGGCTTTTTTGTGTTAAAGTCTGCTGACTGGAGTTCCCAATTACCTTTCTAGTATTAACTACACAAGGGACTCTTCAAACCTGGCTGCATCCTGAGAACTTTATAATAAACTATGGATGCCTGGCCCCCAACCCTGACTAATTAAATCAGAGTAGGGAGAAGAGTGGCCTGGTTTTTAATTTTCCCAGGTAATTCTAGGATGCAGTCTGGGATGAGAACTAAACACTTTGATCATCTATGACTTTCAGTTTTGGATTCTTTAAGTGACATGAAATTAGACACTTAGGAAGCAATCTAAGTGAAGAATACTTTTGAGATGTTTGTCTCATATCCAGTCTTTTATTAGAGTTGTCTTGCCCACTCCTAACTTATCAGTGTTTAAATGTATACTCTCCTTTTATTATCTCTCTCCAAACCACTTGACCCTAGTTTTTTTATAGGACAGGGTTTTTTTTGTTTGTTTTGGTACTGGGAATTGAACCTAGGGGGCACTTAACCACTGAACCACATCCTTTTATTTTTTATTTTGACAGAGTCTCACTGAGTTGCTTAGGGCCTAAGTTGCTGAGGCTGGCCTTAAATTTGTGATTCTCCTGCCTCAGTTTCCCAATTTGCTGGAATTACACATGGATGCCCAGCTATAGGAACTGCTTTTTTTTGTTGTTGTTGGTATTGGGGATTGAACTTGGGGCACTGAGCCACATCCCCAGCCCTATTTTGTATTTTATTTAGAGGCAGGGACTCACTGAGTTGCTTAGTGCCTCGCTTTTGCTGAAGCTGGCTTTGAACTTATAATCCTCCTGCTTCAGCTTCCCAAACTGCAAGGATTACAGGCATGCACCATATAGGAACAGTTTTTTTTTTTTTTTTTAACATTTTTTAGTATTTGGCGGACACAACATCTTTGTTTGTATGTGGTGCTGAGGATCGAACCCGGGCCGCACGCATGCCAGGCGAGCGCGCTACCGCTTGAGCCACATCCCAGCCCCAACAGTTTTTAATGTAGTATTTTTCATCATATGATGTGATGTTTAGTTACATTATCTCATGTATATATGTACACACACACACACATTGAGCAACAGAAGTTTTGTTGGAGTCACAATGCTGTTCCAAGCAGACTGAATGAAATCAATGATTTTGGTGCACTAAAAAGCAGCCTACTAACCTCTACTACCCAGTTACAACTTGTGGGTATTGGTTGAATGACCTACAAGTTCAGTATGTCATTTAAACACCCTTTTCACTCTCTCCAGCTGACACTATGAATACCCTGTGACCCTTCTAAATCAAGTGGAATTCTTGTGGATCTTTTCCTGTTCATGCACATCAAGCTGCTTGTTTCTCTCTAAGCATTTGCCACCACTGCTTTTATTAAAGTTGGAAAGACATAAGGCAGAGGTTCTTTTTTTTAATATTTGTTTTTTAGTTAAAGGTGGACACAATATATTTATTTTATATTTATGTGGTGCTGAGGATTGAATCCAGTGCCTCACCATGTTAGGCAAGACTGTACCTCTGAGCCACAACCCCAACCCCAAGGCAGAGATTTCTTAACCTGACTTCTTGGCTGTCAGTGAACCCTGAGTATGTGAATGTTTATTTTGGGGGAGGAGTTATTTTAACTTTCTAAGGATCTGTAACTTTTATTTGATTCTTATGATCCAAAAAGTTAAGAAGCATATAAGTATCGCGAAAAGTCCTTAAAACTACCAAAATACATTTTTAGGTAGTACTTCAAATCTCTGATTAAAGATTTTGGGAATTCAGCAGGATCATAACTAGTTTCCCACTTTAACTGTCTTCCACTTTAACCATAAGCCTATGTTCAACAGGAAAATTCCAAAGTCCTCCTTTTTCCTAGGACTGTGTGAACACTGAAGCTTAAGTTAATGCAGCCCATTCTCTGCCATTTGCTCAGGGATGCAAAAAGCCCAAGGGGAAAAGAAGGGCTTTCTGCATTTTTTTATTAGTGACTTAACATACTAGTAGGGCATATCTGGTCTATTTAATAAGGAATAAAATGTAATGATTATTCAGGAGAGATACTTACAAGCACACCTCTGCCCTAGGAGTCCTTCTCCAGCTTTGTTTCCCTTTCTCTATCCAAAATGGAGGCATGAGAATAGATACTACAGAGTCTAAATTTTTTTTTTTTTTTTTTTGAGGGGGCGGGGTGTGCTGGGAGTTGAACTCAGGCACTCAACCACTGAGCCATATTCCCCAGCCCTATTTTGTATCTTATTTAGAGACAGGGTCTCACAGAGTTGCATAGCGCCTTGCTGTTGCTGAGGTTGGCTTTGAACTTGCAATCCTTCTGCCTCAGTCTCTGGAGCCACTGGGATTACAGGCATGGGCCACTGTGCCCGGCTTAAATTGTGGTTTTGATTACTATAGTGTCTGCCCAACTTGTTATAATTCTCATGAGCCACTTTGGTGGTAGCTTCCTTGTAGTCTAAAGCCAGATTCTTCCAGGGAATTGCCATCCATATACCTGTGCCTTGATTTAAGCCACCATTTCATTTCAGGAATTCTTCTATAACTTGAGTTTTATGTAAATGAAAACTGGATGTTTGTGTTATTTGCATAAATGCATGTTACATTAAATATCAAGCTGATGCTATGAGAATCTGAAGTATTCAAACCACATGAATAAAAGCAAAATGCAGGGGCTGGAGTTGTAGCTCAGAGGTAGAGCATTTGCCTTATACATGTGAGGCACTGGGTTCGATTCCCAGCACCACATATAAATAAGCAAATAAATAAAGGTCTATCAACAACTAAAAAAATAATAATAATAATAATAAAAAGCAAAATGCTTCCTTGTAGGATTATTACTGTGACTGTCTCATATTCTCATGTCAGTTCTCATCCTCACAAAGGACTAAACTGCTTTATTCCTGGGACTTATGCTATATTTTCCTCATATTTAAAGTGTGAATTGGGTGTCCTGATGGAAAAGGACAAAAAAGAAGTTAAGAAGATGTCAAGTATTGCCATCATAAAGTATTCTCCAGCTTGGATTTGATGGTGTTTCTGGGGGTGGGGGACACATTTCTAAACAGCAGTTGGCCCCTGGCCATAAAGCAGTGTCTAGGATGAAACTAGAAGGGGAAAGGTGGAGCAATTCATATGGCATTCAAAATGGATTAAAATTTTGGAAGCAATTCTCCCCAAAACTGTGATTTTTCATACATAAAAAAAAAAAAAAACACACAAAACCATACACTCTGAAATTGTATCCAAACTCCAAAATATTAAAAAGTGTAAAATTATAGGGACCGGGGATGTAGCTCATAGGTACAGTGCTTGCTTGCCTATCTGTAAGGCCCTAGGTTCGATCCTCAGACTGCAAGAAGAAAAAAATCATTAAAATTGTAGTTTCCTCCACTGTTAGCTAGAATTTGGATTCTGCAGTCAGAATGAAAAACCATGATTTTAAAGAATACAGTCTTTGCCCCATTTTCCCAAGGGGAGCATTAATTTATAGCAGAGTCACCCATGAAGCTGAAGTAATTTAAAAAAGCTCAACTTTATTGGGCCTTTACTTTGTTCTAGGCATAATGTCAAGGGCATTTTTTTTTTAATTTAGTCAAAAAACTTTCCAGGTAGATAAACTTTTTTTCTGATGAGAAAATAAGGCTTATAGAGTGGTTAAATAATTTGCCTAAGGACAAACAACATTCTAGAAGTAATTAAGCTGGCAGTTAACCTCAAAACTGCCACACCTCAGTCCTCCAGGTCTTCACAGTTACTCTAACCCCTTTCTATTCATAATGCCTAGCAATAGTAGGTGCTTGGTAAAAATATCTAACTGTTCACATACATTCAGCATTGTTTTCCTTTTTTATATGAGGAAACTGAGGCTCACAATTTCAGTAACTTTTATCAATTTCATATAGCTAAAATTTTAGAAATTGTAGAAACTCATTCTACATAGAGAAAAAGTGGTAGAACTGGGATTTAAACTCAGTTCATTTTTCTTGGGCTTGGGGTGTAGCTCAGTGGTAAAGCACATAATTAGCATGCATAAGGGCCTGGGCTCAATTCCCAATACCCCTAACCCCTCTCCCCAAAATGTATTTCATGTTTTTACCTACCATGTCACACTGTCACCATTTAATCCCATAAGGTACTATTAAAGCTGTACTGCTTTTAAGATTTGCATGGCATTCAATTTGCTAGATTTAATTATTAAAGGAAATGGCCTCAAGTGCAAAAATGCTTCTGAATTTTTTTCAATCATAAAGTCCATGGGCCTGGGGGTGTTGTTTGGTGGTAGAGCACTTGCCCAGCACACACAAGAGCTCTGGCTTCAATCCCCAGCACCTCAAAAATAATAGTAATAATAAATAAAATCCCTGATATTGCATTGTTGTAACTTTTGGACTTGATATTTATTTTCTCAGTTCATCATGTAACATTTACGTAGAAATCTAACAGATTAGTAGTAATATTTATAAATACAGATGGGATTCTCCTAAGAGGAAAGGGTGATGTGTTACAGGATCTCTCAGTCCACATAGGGAAATGAATTAAAATTGTCAACAGAACTTTCTGGGAAATAACCTGAGCAGGTATTTCAGGAATGAAACACAATTGGGGCTATCCCTGTAGTCCCCACATCCTTAACCCTGGGAGCAGTGCTTCTGCTGGGTATCTTTTGTAAGAGCTGGCTACAATTTATAATGAACCAGTCCACAAGATGTTGAGGAGAAAGCTGAACTGAAAAGATACAGCAGGTGGCCTTTTGCCCAACCTGGAGGGGGTTGCCAGTATGGGAAGGAGTTCTCCAGGCTCCCTGGAGAGAGGCTGAGCTATAGGAAGAGATAAAGGTTGGGGGAGGGGATAACCTTTGTTAAGAGGCTGTTTTGGGGAAGGAAACATTCCCTTTTCCACAAGACCTAAACCCAGGGTGAGTGAGCCCCATTTATCCTAGATCTCTATATTATCCTACTTGAGATGGAAAATAATAATAAAGGTTTCTGGTTTGAGTGTAGGGATTGAAGGTACTCCAGCTCCCGGAAGGGAAAGAAAAAGAAATGGCTGGGGGCTGGGCAGAGGACAATGCTGTTACACCTTACAGATAGTCATCAGTTATTTTCCCAACCTATCTCTACATTCAAGAGGTAATCATACATTGTTAGGAGGTGGAGAGTAACAGTTCCTTTTGTTTTTGAGTCTCCTTTTGTGACACCTGTTCCATGAATTTAGAAGGTGAGAGATGGGGGAATAGCTTCCAGAAGCAAAGTTGAATTGGAAAGATAAAAGCTTTATAAGAATAACTTTTAGCCTTTCCACAGGGCATTGGTGGTACACACCTGTAACCCCAGCAATTCTGGAGGAGAACAAGTTCCAGGCCAGACTCAGCAATTTAGCAAGACCCTAAGCAACTTAGAAAGACCCTGTCTCAAAAAATATGAAGGGCTGAGGTGTGGTTCAGTGTGGTTAAGCACCCCTGGGTTCAATCTCCAGCACCAAAAAAAAAAGCTCTTCCTTTTGAACCTCTATAGACGGGTTTTCTGTCTTGGTGACAACACTTACTAGTCATATGACTTGGTATAATTTAAATTCTATGGGCTTTAAAAAAAAATGGGAATTGTAACAACTCTCTGATGACTCCACAAGGTTCTGAAAATTAACAAGAAATTGTTGAAACACTTTAAAAGCAATACAACATGATGCAGATAGAAAGTTAATTGTTTGGTATCCAACAGTTTGGTAGAAATTGAGTTTTGTGCCAAAAGAGGAGCCTCAGTGATTGAGCTGTTTCTCTTCTTATTACAGCTGTCTCTGAAGGGCACAAATCAGACCGCACCATGCCTCCTAATAAAGAGGCCAGCAGTGTTACTAGCTCACCAGCAGGGCTCATCTGCCTTCCTCCAATTTCTGAGGAGCTACAGCTTGTGTGGACCCAAGCAGCCCAGACCAGTGAGCTAGACAGCAATGAACACCTGCTACAAACCTTCAGCTACTTTCCCTATCCCAGCCTAGCAGACATTGCCCTTCTCTGCCTACGTTATGGGCTACAGATGGAGAAAGTCAAGACTTGGTTCATGGCCCAGCGCCTCCGCTGTGGCATTAGCTGGTCATCTGAAGAAATAGAAGAGACTCGAGCACGAGTGGTATACCATCGGGACCAACTCCACTTCAAATCCCTTCTCTCTTTTACTCATCATGCAGGGCGGCCACCAGAGGAGGTGCCACCTTCTCCAGTGCCACCTCCAGAACCAGTTGATCTTGGAATAGGCCCTCTGACTTTTAGAGAGCCCCCCCAGATAAAAGGATTGAAGGTAGAACCTGAGGAGTTCTCTCATATATCAGCACTGCCACTGAGTCACCAGAAAGCAAAGGAGTCCCTTTTGACACCTGGCAGTGGAACATTCTCCCAATCAGATTTTTGGCAGGATCTTCAAAGCAGTGGTCTCTCTAAGGAACTGGCAGGCAGTGGTCCTGACCACTCACATGGTGTAGGTACTCTGGATAAGCCCCCATCAATCTCATTACTTGCCAGTAGTTGTAAGGAGGAGTCAGCACCTAGTATGACTCCTTCTTCCTCCTCTACCTCCTCTTCTTTCCGGGTACTGGCTAATGGAGCTACTGCCACCTCTAAACCCCTCCAGTCACTAGGCTGTATCCCACAGTCACTCTCACCCAAGGAACAGGCACTACCCCCACATCTGGAGCCAGCCTGGCCTCAAGGGCTACGGCATAACTCAGTACCAGGTAGGGTTGGCTCCACAGACTACCTTTCCCCAGATATGCAACGCCAGAGAAAGACTAAGCGTAAAACCAAAGAGCAGCTGGCTATTCTCAAATCCTTTTTTCTACAGTGCCAATGGGCACGGCGTGAGGATTACCATAAATTGGAACAGATCACTGGTTTACCTCGGCCTGAGATCATTCAGTGGTTTGGTGACACACGCTATGCTTTGAAGCATGGGCAACTAAAATGGTTTCGGGACAACGCAGTACCTGGTGCCCCTAGTTTTCAAGATCCAGCAATTCCTACACCACCGTCAACCCGCTCTTTGAAAGAATGGGCTGAGACACCACCTCTACCAATTCCCCCGCCCCCACCGGATATACGACCTTTGGAGAAGTATTGGGCAGCCCACCAACAGCTACGGGAAATTGATATCCCTCAGCTGAGTCAGGCATCAAGACTTAGCACCCAGCAGGTACTGGATTGGTTTGACTCTCGATTACCTGAGCCAGCTGAGGTGGTAGTTTGTCTAGATGAAGAAGAGGAAGAGGAAGAAGAGGAACTGCCGGAAGATGAGGAGGAAGAAGAAGAGGAAGAAGATGAGGAGGAGGAGGATTATGTGATCATACAGGACTGAGCGAGGGAGGGATTTTGGGAAGGAAAAGATCTGTTACTAAAAGATGAACCAAATTTTAGTAACTTTAAGCAAAGAAACTACATTTTTTTAATTACCTTGTGGCAAAGAATTTAAAAGCTTTTGTATTCTTCAGGGTGGGTGATGGGGTTGTAGTAAGTTGAGGGTGGACCAGGGAGGATGATCATAGTACACAAAATCAGGGATTGGATCAGCAAATAATCCAGTACTCTAGCCACATGTAGAGGAGGCCAAGAACCTGGGCCAGGAAATGTCTCCTGTTCTTGTATAGGGTATTCTTTTCCCATAGTGTACTACAGAAAACTGACCTCAGCTACACATACATAGAAGGTCTGGAAAGAAGGGGTAAAGAATTCTGATTTAATTAATAATTCTAATGAATCACCAATCCCACCATTTTCCCTGGAATATAAGGCTGTCTTGTACTGTTTCCTTCCTCTCTGAGCACAAATTCTGTAATAATGCAGCTAAGATTCTCAATAGGTACCAGGCCTTGTCAGAAATATTCTCTCTTCTTATATCAATTTGATGGCTCTGTGTTTTACCTGCTTCATCACTGAATCACTGGTGGTAAAAATGTTCTCATTTTTGATACTGGGACAACTTTGTCTTCTACCTTTTTATCTTTACAAAATCCCCTCTCTATTAACTATTTGTCTCAGGGTAAATCTTTCCCACAGAGTTTGTAAAAAAGTTTTAATAATAGGTAGTGAATATTTAGTCTGGATATTTATTGGAGGTGAGAATTAGGAGAAGATATCCTTTAAAAAAGTAGAATTACATAATAGAGTGATGGAGAAGAGGGGATGATTTCTCCTGTTCAAAGGACGGATGGTAGGAAGTTCCAGGTTTGGTTTTACAAACTTGACACAAGCTCCTCTCTAGTTTGACAAAGACTGATTTTTCTTCTTTCCAACCCCCACCCCAACCTCCTTGGCTCAATTTGCATCCAAAGAGAATTTTCCCTCTCTTAACTGAATTAATTATTGATGTTTTGGAATGATTTTCTTCAGTTGGGATCATATACAAAGAAAAAGATATCAATGGGTTAACTATCTAAAAATAAGAGTGGAAGCCCCAAATTGTTAGAATAATAATAAAAAGGCCAAAAATAAAATTGTTTCTCTTTTCTCCACTTTACCATGCCTATGGTTTAGAGATTAATGGAGCCAAGTCCATTAACATTTCTGATTTAGGGGCTGGGAGTGTGGCTCAAGTAGTAGAGCACTTTCCTACCATGTGTGAAGCCCTGAGTTTGATCCCCAGCATTGCTTTTAAAAGAGTTCAGATTTAGTATACATTTTATTATTTGAAGGGGCAGGACTTGAGGTAAACTAAAAGAACAAAAACTAAAAGGCAGTAGGTTGGAATCTGTCACCACACATGTTGTTTTCCAGTGGACAGATGATAATGATTAAAATTTCTGCGGTCTCAGCAGTGACAGATTCAACAGGCTTGGAGTTAACTCCATTGGTTCATCCATATCTTCCAATAAGCTGTATATCTGTGTCTCCAATTATTTTAACAAAGGAAAATCAACATATTTAATAGTAAATAGTTGTAGAGAAACAAAAAATAGGAAAAGCATAATAGGGTAAGAACAAGAGTTGGTACTTGATAACATAACATAGGCATGGTAAAATATACCCAAAGCTAAAAAATGAAATCCAGAAATGAAACAAGTTGATGAATATATTACCCAGTCTCCTCACTTCCAAGCATGATGCCAAAAATTAATTTTATAGCCTTAATTTCAAATTGTTAGGAAATGAAAGGAGTAATATACTTTCTCGGGGAGAAACATCATTAGTCTTATTTAGACCTGACCACTTTCCTGAGAGGTAATATCAAGTATAAAGATCAAAAGGAAATAAGGTACAGAATGAAACCAGGAAACAAAACAGGGGCACATTTTCCAAGGTCATTTCTGCTAATGAGTACTGGATACTACAGTCCATCCTTCAGCAATATGTATAGATCAGACCTTGATGATGGCTTATCTGGAAGTGGTCCATTCTTCTCTCTCCCTGGCTAATCCCATCTGCCTCTGTTGGTAGAGAGTCTGCAGCAGAGAACAAGAAGGCAGATTTGAGTGTTTATAAACAACAGAAAAGGCTAATAAGACCCTGTTAAGCTATTACATGAAGTTTATTGGGACATAAACCACCCCTGTTGCTTCCCCCATGACTTTTCCCCATTGTATAATGATTAAGCTTTCCAAACAGATTTGTACATTTTGTGTGACAAGGCTTTGTTGCTACCTATGAAGCTCTCTTGAATATTTCAGTGGTTTATAATAATGACAAATATGTGAAAATCAAACTGTTTTGGAAGATCTGGAACATATGACTACCATACCCAAAGATGTTTACCAAGAGGGTATTTTTTTTTTTTTTTTTGGTATTGCGGATTGAACCCAGAGGCCCTTTACCACTGAGCCACCTCCCTACATCCCTAGCCTGGTTTTTTATTTTGAGATAGGGTCTCACTAAGTTGCTGAGGCTAGCCTTGTACTTGCTATTCTGCCTCAGCCTTCTGAGTTGCTGGGATTACAGGGATGCATCATCACACCCAGCAAGAAGGTAGAATTCTTATGCCTCTGGGAGGATGCACTTTCTTCAAAAACTATTTTTTTTAATATTTATTTTTTACTTGTAGTTGGATGGAACCCAGGGCCTCGCCCGTGCTAGGTGAGCGCTCCACCACTGAGCTACAACCCCAGCCCCAAAAACTATTTTTAAAAACTTTTTAAAGTTTTTAAGTAGATTAGGCCAGGCACACACCTGAAATCCTAGCAACTTGGGAGGCTGAAGCAGAAGTATTACAAGTTTGAGAGCATCCTTAACAATTTATAGAGGCCCTAAGCAGCTTAGACCCTGTCTCAAAATTTTAAAAAAACAAAACAAACAAACCCCAACTTCAATAAGTAATTCGTTGTCAATCTTTTATTTCTCTTCCACTAAATTACATTAAAACAAAATCCAGACATCATCTAACTTCCCACCATACAAAATTTTATATGTAAAATTTTATACATAAAATAAAAACAATAACAATGTTGTCATATCTTAAAAAATACCCAGTGCTAAAAATTGTTTAATTTTGATACTGGGTCCACTTTGTCTTCTACCTTTTTATCTTTACAAAATCCCCTCTCTATTAACTATTTGTCTCAGGGTAAATCTTTCCCACAGAGTTTGTAAAAAAGTTTTAATAATAGGTAGTGAATATTTAGTCTGGATATTTATTGGAGGTGAGAATTAGAAGATATCCTTTAAAAAAGTAGAATTACATTTTAGAGTTATGGGGGCTAGGGATGTAACTTGGTGATAAAGCCCCCAGGTTCAATCCCCAGTACTAAAGGAAAAAAAAATAGTAGGTTTCAAATTTCTAATAATGTTTAGTTTTCCTCAACTGTCTCATAAAATTTTTTTAAATAGCTTATTTCAATAGAGATCCAATTTAGGACCATATATTTATAGTTGTTTTATAGGTCTCAAGTCATTTTCCATTTGTAGGTTAATCCCTCCATTTGTGAGGATCTTAGAGAGGGATATTATTTCCCCAGTGTTGCCTCTTAAGGCTTAGATCCTAATTTCTTGCTGATGAAATAAAGGGCATTTTAGATTGTAGGAACAAAATATATACCAGACTTAGTATGCAGGAGTTTTCCCTGGGGTAACTGGGAGCTTGGAGTGGAAAAGGACCTAAATACCCTTAAACCCCAAGCTATAAAAATCCATTTAAAAATCAAGACTGGACTTTTCATTTAATAGAGCCCTTACAAACTTCTCATTACCCTGCCCCTTTCCTTTTGCTGCTTGAAACAGAATCAGTCCTATAAATTTACAAGGCATTATTCTACCTATCTCTGGAGAAATAAATGTGGTTTTTCCCAGTTCAACAGTACCTTCACCTGAAAGACATTTCACTGAAAATATTCTCTTGTGGAACTACTGGGAATGTCAATGTGTCCTTTCTGTCCAAAACCTCTTAGTAAATCTTCTCACTACTCACTATTATGTGACTTAATTAAATAACTCAAACCAGGAAGCTAGTCTCATAATAGGATAGAACCTTTGAAGTTGAGACTATCCTGGAAAATTGTTAACAGATGTTTATCACAGTTGAAACCCATGTCATTCTCCACTGGTTACATTGTACTACTCTAACCTGAGACAAGAATGAGGTTGTTAGTGTGTAGGCCTAACCATATGAATTTTTATGCACAAACAAGTTGTACTAGCCAGGCTTACCTGAAGGACTGGTAGCTGGAAACCTGGAAGACTCTCTAGTGTGGTTCTGCTCTCCCTCTGACCTGAAGGATAGGATGGAATGGTGAAAGACAACTTACTTGGGCAGTTCCTCAGCAGTTACTTTTACTTGTGGATCAAGTATCTTGGTAGCTCTTAATAAAGGAACACAGAAGGGAAAAGAGTATTAGCTACATAATTTAAGAAGTAGGTTGCAGCCAGGCATGGAGGCACACACCTATAATCCAAGCAATTTAGGAGCTGAGACAGAAGGATTGCAAGTTTGAGGCCAACCTCAGCAACTCAATGAGGGCCTAAGCAACTTAGTGAGACCCTGTCTCAAAATAAAAAATTAAAGGGAGAAAAAAAAGGGGGGGCTAGGGATGTAACTTGGTGATAAAGCCCCCAGGTTCAATACCCAGTACTAAAGGAAAAAAAAATAGTAGGTTACAAAATCCATTCTTTTCCTGTGAAGATGGGGTACTGAGAGAGCCATCTGAGATTTTATTTTTTAATTTTTTTAAAAAACTTCTCAAATTTAAGCCCAGAATTTTTTTTAATATATCTTTATTTTTTATTTATTTTTATGTGGTGCTGAAGATTGAACCCAGTGCCTTACACATGCGAGGCAAGCACTCCACCACTGAGCTACAACCCCAGCCCCCTGAGATTTGAGTTTAACTGTAAGTAGAAAGATAGGCACTGAAAAAGATTTAGGCAAACTATGGAAGATGGGCTGGCATCAAAAGGGCTGGCTGGTGGTAGAGTAATTTTACTGAAAAGCACAGGGAGAAGAAAGCATGTTGGTGTTATAATTCTCAAAATTGAGTTGTTAGCATGTTCAAGATAACAAAAAAGCCAGTTTAATACTATAGACCAACCAGGCTAAACAGTATAGGATTCAACTGGTAACATGGTGAGGACTATTTAGGCAAAATTCATTCATTGTATAGGAATTAGAATGACTCTTAACTATATATATTAGAGTCAACTGGAAACAATGCTCTTTGGGGAATGAATCTCAATTTCTTGTTATCTTGGAAAATCTTCATTTTAGTATATGTGTCAGTGGTTGAAACTCCACTCCTTTGGGAATGTTTAACTTACCAGAATTGTTAGGGGTGAGGACTCTTGTGTGGCCTGAATCTCCATTTAGATATGGTTTGAAAGACAAAATCCCCTGTCCAGAGGAGGCAGATAAAGGTCTATGGAGGGGAAATAAAAGCATCAGCAGAAAAAGGGAAAGATCAAGGGCTGGGGTTGTATCTCAGTGTCAGAGTGCTTGCCTAGCATGCATGAGGCATTGGGTTCAATACTTAGCACCACATAAAAATAAATGAAATAAAGGCATTCTGTCCATCTACAACTACAAAAAAAAAATTTTTTTTAATGTGTAAAAGAAAGGCCAATGCCTTTAGGCCGGGGGGGGGGGGATCCCGTTTGAAACTAAAATTTAAAAATTCTGATGTACATTAAACACAATGTTATTAACCTCTCCTTTTTTTTTTTTTTTTTTTACAAAACAAATTATAAACTTCAGTGGTATAGGCTAGTGGAGAAGTAATCCCAGGGATACTGGCAATGTCGGTGTGAACAGATTCCTAAAGAAAAGAAGTATGTTACTTACCTGTAAGATAGGCTGTGAGTTGAAGCTGGTGAAGGGGTTTCTGAAAGCATAAAAATGAGCTTGTGAGATTCAGATATATTAGGAACCAGGGCAAAAGAAATGGGGATCAAAGATTTTTTGTGGGGAGGTATGGGGATTGAACTCAGAGGCACTCAACCACTGAGCCACATCCTCAGCCCTATTTTGTATTTTATTTAGAGAAAGGATCTGACTGAGTTGTTTAGCACCTCGCTTTTTGCTGAGGCTGGCTTTGAACCAGCCTATCCTATACTCCAGAACCACTGGGATTACAGGCATGCACCCCCACGCCCACAAGGATACTTAGTATAAGTTTAGGGGACGATGTTGAGTGGAAAGTCTCACAAAATCATCTAGCAGCATCTCATAAGGATGCTTTCTTCTCCCTTTCATGAGTCTGGGCCAGGATAAATCACTGCCTTGATGTGCGCTAATCTATCTGTATTTTGCCCTCACCTCTGATGAAGATTACCAAAAACTATGTCTAAAGACAATGAGTCATTAAATTGGTGATGAGTAACATCAGTAAAACTAGTGGAACAAAGAGCTCCAAAAATCATCTCCTTCATTAAAGCAATGAAAAAACTAGAAAAAATGCTCAGAGTCAACCTTTTCAAACTCTGGAAATTAGCCAGATACAGTGGTACACACCTGTAATCCCACTGACTCAGGAGGCTGAGGCAGGAGGATTGCAAGTTTGAGGCCAGTTTCAGCAACTAAGCAAGACACTGTCTCCAAAAAAAAAAAGGACTGGAGATGTACTCAGTGGTAAAGTGCTCCAGGGTTCAATCCCCCAGTACAAAAAACAAAAACTCTAGAAATTAATAGAGAGCTTGTAGCAATCTGGAAAATATTTACTCAGGGGAAAAAATAGCTGAATGTCAATAAAAGCAGTAATCTCTGTGGCACTGTAACTTCTCTACTTCTCATTTCTCCTCTAGTTCCATGGTACCTTTGAAAATCAATTCTGGCAGTCAGAGGGAAGGAATGGGGTTGGAACTCTTTCAAAGCTTCATTCTTAGAGAACTGTCATTATTTGACCTGTATAGTAGTTTCCTGGAAGATCTCACTTGCAAAGCTGTCTCTGACTTGACTTGGAACTCAAGTTCACCAAATCTTGGAGCTCAGAGCTAACCAAGTACAAAAAAGTCTTTTCCCTTAGAAGTGTTTGTTGAAAACAATTAGAGACACTTGTTTTTGGCTGCCTTAGAAGATGATTATCAGTTGGGGCAACTAATAGTCTAACTAAAATGTGTAAAGGAAAAGTCAGGGAATGAGCTGTCCATAGGGGCTTTAAAAAGTTCCAATACATTCCTACAAATCTAGAAGGTAATGTGCATGCCCAGGTCTATAAACAAATTCAGAAAACAACCAAGAAAGCCCTAAATGCTCACCCAGAGCTGACCCTGAAGCTATATAAGCAGGAAGTAAAGTCAAGGCTCAGTTAAGAACTGGCTGGTTGAATGCTGAAAGTGCAAATTATGGAATATGCCAAGAAACAAAAAACTGTGGCCTATACATAGGGGAAAAAGCAATTAATAGAAACTGAGGAAATCCTGGCGTTGGACTTTCTAGACAAAGACGTCTACATCAGTTATTTTATCCAAGCTCAGTGGCAACATGCTTGAAATTCCAGAGATTTGGAAGACTGAGGCAGGAGGAACACAAGTCAGAGGTCAACCCAGGCAAGTTAGCGAGTTCTTATCTCTAAATAAAAGGTAGAGTGCCCTGGGTTCAATCCCCAGTACCAAAAAAAAAAAAAAAAATCCACTATTTTAAATATATTCAAACAAATAAAGGAGACAGGCATGGTGGCACTTTACTGCAATCCCAGAGATTTGGGAAGCTGAGGCAGGAGGATTCCAAGTTCAAGGCCAGCTTCAGCAACATAGAGAGGGCCTAAGCAACTTAGCAAGACCCTGTCTCAAAATAAAAATAAAAAGGCAGGGCAGGGCATGAACCCAGTGCCTCCAGGTTCAATCTCCAGTACCCTCACCCACCAAAAAAGTAAAGGAAACCGTATCTAAAACACTAAAGGAAGTGATAAGATGGCATCTCAACAGTGAATATCAATAAAGGAAAATTACATAAAAAAGAACCAAATATAAATTCTGGAGTTGAAAAGTATAACTAAATGAGAAATTTACTAGAAGGGCTCATTAGCAGATATGAGAAGGCAGAAATAGAATCAGCAAATTTAATTTTAAGTCTATTGAAATTGTTCTGGGGAAGAAAATAATGAAGAAAATTGGACAAAGTCTCAGAGACCTTGATGGGGCACTATCAAGGTTACCAATGTTTGTACAGTGGGCGTTTCAAAAGAAGTGGAAAGAGGCACAGAGGCAGAAAGAATACTTGGAAAATAATAGCCCAAAACTTCCCAAATGAGCTGAAAAATGACCTACAAATTCACGAAGCTCAACAAACCTCAAATAGGATAAACTCAAAGAAAGTTACAACGAGACATATTGTAATCAAACCTAACCTTGTGTTTTTTTCTCCTTGTTAGGGTAGCTGGTGCAAATATCCGAGAGAGAGAGAGAGAGAGAGAGAGAGAGAGAGAGCGAGCGAGCGAGCGAGAGCGCATGCGCGCGCGCACACACTCTCTCTCTCTCTGAGTTCAAACACAAGTTTATTCACAGAGAATATCTGCCAGACTGCCCTTCTGCAAGGTGCAGCAGCCAGTGTCACTTGAAGGGAAGCTTATATATCTTTGGACAAGGAACAAGAGCAAGTTAGAGTTGATCTTGAGTGCAGGTGCTTGGATAACAACAGTTTTTTGTGTTTAGGGACCTTGGGGCCAGGGGATTATGGGAACAGGGTATCTTAAGTCTCTTTCTCTTGACAGTTTATAAGTTTCAGTTTGGGTCAAGATGGAGTCCTAGAACCAAAATGGAGTTACTAATGTCTAGGGCCTAACACTCCTCCTCTAAAATAGGCTCTATGATAACCACCCCTACATACAGTTTTATTGTGAAGATTAAATGAACTGATACACTGTAAGATACTACACATTAATATAAGAGGTTCAATTCCTTACTTGGTTTTAAGTTCATTTAATCATTGGCTATTTTGATGAAGAACAGGAAAAAGCAAGGTATTGTCAGAGAGTAACAAGAAAGGCCTCTCTGTGAAATGGACTTAAGACCTACAGGATGATAAAGATCCAGCCAAACAAAGTGGGCAGAATTTAGGAGAGAGTGTATCATATACCAAGGTCATCTTATTATATGAAACAATGTTCATCCTTATTTTAAATATCCCTAAAACTGTTGTGTTGGCTCATTAAGTGATTTGAAGGTGCGGAACAGGCAAAGTGAAGGGAGAGTCAGGAAGATCAAAGGAAAATCTGGAGTTTGATTAAAGAAAAAGAGGAATTATTTTAAGAATGTAAAAGTGATTAATATCGTAGAAAACTGCTGCATGTCTGGTAGAAGAGGAATGAAAATGGCCATTAAGTCTTGTAATTGGAAGCCCTTGAATAGGTTGAAGAGTGTAGGAAAAATGTAAAAGTAAAAAGGTATTGGAAACCCTTTTAAGAAGGGAAACAGAGGGCTGAGGTTGTAAATCAGTGGCAGAGCACTTGCCTAGTGTGAAGCACTGGATTTAATTCTCAGAATCACATATAAATATATAAAATAAAGGTCCATCAACAGCTAAAAAAAAAAAAAGGAAAGGAAGCAGACATTCTACTATCATGTATATCTAAAACAAGAACAAATTAAAAAAAGAAGGTAAGCAGGATGTCCAATGCCATTTTACTTCTTCAAACAAAGAATCTTGAAAGCAGCAAGACAGAAGTCACTCATCATGTACAAGGGATGCTCAATAAGATTAGCAGTGAGAGGCCAGGGTTGTGGCTCAGTGGTAGAGCGCTTGCCTAGCATGAATGAGGTACTGAGTTTGATCCCTGGCACCACATAAAAATAAACAAAGGTAAAAAAAAAAAAAGATTAGCATTGAATTTTCATCAGACACCATGAAGGCCAGAACAGTGGGATAACATATTTAAAGTGCTGAAAGACTATCAACCAAAAATTTATATCCAGCAAGATCATCCTTCAGGGCTTGGGATGTGGCTCAAGCGGTAGCGCGCTTGCCTGGCATGCGTGCGGCCCGGGTTCAATCCTCAGCACCACATACAGACAAAGATGTTGTGTCTGCCAAATACTAAAAAAAAAATGTTAAAAAATTATCTCTCTCTCATTCTTTAAAAAAAAAAAAAAGATCATCCTTCAAAAATGAAAAAGAAATTAAGACACTCCCAGAGAAATAAATATTTAGACAGAATTCAGCACTATAAAATCTGCCTTACCAAGCATGGTGGCACATGCCTATAATCCCAGTGACTCTGGAGGCTGAGGCAAGAGGATTGCAAGTTCAAAGCTAGCCTCATCAACTTAGCTTGAGGCCCTAAGTAATTTAGTGCTCAAAATAAAAAGAGCTGGGATGTGGCTCAGTGGGTAAGCACCCCTGGGTTCAGTTGCTGGTACCAAAAAAAAAAAAAAAAATACCTGCCTGACAGTAAGACATAGGGACACACACATGTAATACCAGCTACTTGGGAGGCTGAGGCAGGAAGATAGCAAGTTTTTTTGTTGTTGTTGTTGTTGTTACTTTTTTAGTTGTAGTTGGACACAATACTTTTATTTATTTATTTTTATGTGGTGGAAGATCGAACCCAGCACCTTACACGTGCTAGGCGAGTGCTCTACCACTGAGCCCCAACCCCAGCCCTGAAGATAGCAAGTTTGAGGTCAGCCTGCGCAACTTAGCAAGACCCCATCTCACAATAAAATAAAATGGGTGGAGATGTAGCTCAGTGGTAGAGCACTTGCCTTGCCTAGACAGGCCCTGGGCTCAATCTCCAGTAATACAAAAACAAAGGAAAACAAAACAAAGTCTGCCCTATAAGAAATACTAAAGAGAGTCTTCCAAGCCTAAAATGAAAGAATACTAGAGAGTAACTCAAATATACCTTTAAGAAAGAGCACCAGGGAGAGACAGTGGAAGTGGATTTTTGTTTGTAACTTTTTTCTTTCTGATTTAAAAAACAACTATATAAAACAATAATTATCAATTTGTCAATGAGCACACAATTTATAAAGATGTATGTATGCTAACTGCACAATGGAGTGGGAAGAAAAACTACATAGACTAAATTTTTGTATACTATTGAAATTAGGTGTGGTATTAAATCCAAAATAGATTGTTATAAATTAAGATATTAATAGTAATCTCTAAGAAAAATTCCCTGCCACATATACATACAAATATACATATGTATATATACAAAAATTAATACATACACACACACACACACACACACACACATATATATATATATAATTTTTTTTTTTTTTTTGAGACAGGATCTCAGTTGTTTAGGGCCTCACTAAATTGCTGAGACTGGACTCAAACTTGCTATCCTCCTGCAGCAGCCTCCCAAGTGGCTGGGATTATACATGTATGCCACCACTCCAGGCAGCAAGAGACTCAATCTCAAAAACAAAATAAAACAAAACAAAAAACAAGTAGAGGATAAAGGAGCTGGAGGTATAGTTTAGTGATACACTGTGTGTGCCTAATATATGCAAGGTCCTGGGTTTAATCACAAGCAACATGCACAGAAAAAAAAAAAAAAAAAAAAGGAAGGCAGACAGGAAGGAAAGAAGACAGAAAAAGATACTTCATGCAAACCATGAACAGAAGAGTGTTTATACTAGTAAAAAACTAAATTAAAAAAAAATATTACTAGAGACAAAGAATGACATTATGTAATGATAAAAGAGTCAATCCATCAAGAAGACATAAATTTACATATATGTACCTAATAACAGTTCTAAAAAAAAGTAAAAACTGACATAATTGGGGCTGGGTACAGTGGTACACGGTTATAATCCCAGTGTCTCAGGAGGCTGAGGCAGGAAGCAAATTCAAAGCCAATCTCAACAACAGCAAGGCACTAAGCAACTCAGCGAGACCCTGCCTCTAAAATAAATAAATATAAAATTTAAATAATTTTATATTTATATAAATATAAATAAATAAATAAAATATAAAAATAGGGCTAGGGATGTGGCTCTGTGGTAAAGTGCCCCTGAGTTCCCAGGTATGTGCCCCCCAACACATGATAAAAAAAAAAACCTGACATAATTGAAGAAAAAATTAGACAAGTCCATAGTAATAGTTGAAGACTTCAATACCCTACTTAAAAAAAAAAATAGAATAACTAGACAGAAGATCCAGCAAGAAACAGAAGCATGCCAACTGAACACCACTATATACCAACTAAACCTACTAAAATTTATAGAATATTTTATCCAAGGGCAGAAAATAAATTCTTTCTAAGTGCATATAAAACGTTTTCCAAGACAGATAACGTTAAGCCATAAATTTTTAAAAAATCAATGTGTCCCCAATCACAAAGCAATGGAATTCAAAATAAATAATGAAAACATTTGGAAAATTCACAAAATGTGGATTTTTTTTAATATTTATTTTTTAGTTGTAGGTGGACACAATACCTTTATTTTTTTAGTTTTTTTATGTGGTGCTGAGCATCGAACCCAGGGCCTCATGAATGCTAAGCAAGCACTCTTCCTCTAAGCCACAACCCCAGCCCAATATGTGGATATTAACACACCACTAAATAGTCAATGGGTCAAAGAAAAAAAAAATCACAAGGACATTAGGAAATACATTTTTTTCTTTTGAGGGTTACTGAAAATTGAACCCAGGGGTATTCCCCTGAGCTACATCCTCAGCTCTCTCTCTCTCTTTCTTTATTTACTGGCACCTGGACTTAAATTCAGGAGCACTTAACCACTGAACCACATCTCCAGCCCTTTTTAATTTTATTTTGAGACCGAGTCTCACTAAATTGCTGAAGCTGGCTTTGAACTTGCAATTCTCCTGCCTCAGCCTCCTGAGACACTGGGATTACAGATGTGTGCCACCATGCCCACCTAGCCCTTTTCTTTTTTGAGACAGGGGCTTGCTAAATTGCCTGGGCTGGCCTCAAACTTGCAATCCTCCTGCCTCAGTCTTCCAAGTTGCTGGAATTACAGGAACAGCCCTCTGTGCCCAGCTTAGAAAACAATTCAAGATGAATAAAAACAAAAACACAATAAACCAACCTTATAGGATGCAATGAAAGCAGTACTAAAGTGAAATTTATGACTGTAGATATCTATATCATAAATGTCTAATATCAATCAATAATTTAACCTTCTACCTTAAGAAAATAGAAAAAGAACAAACTAAACCCAAAATAACCAGAAGAAATAAGATTAAATCACAAATACATGAAATACAGAATAGAAAACAATATAGAACACCAAAAGTTGGTTCTTTGAAATGGCTGACCAAGACAAAAGAAAAGATTCCAGTTACCAAAACCAGGAATGAAAGAGGAAACAATACTACCAACCTGACTTAAATAAATTGGCTAGACCATCTACATTTTTCAAAGGGGTGAATGTTGAAGAACTGGAGGAAAAATCTCTGAATTTTTCAAATGAAAAGGATTTGGAGCAGGGTGTGGTAGTGCAGCCTGTAATCCCAGCAGCTCCAGAGGCTGAGGCAGGAGAATCGTGAGTTCTAAGCCTGCCTCAGCAATTTAGTGAGGTTCTGAGGAATTCGGGCAAGACCCTGCCTCTAAATAAAATGTTAAAAAGGCTGGGGATATGGCTCACTGGTTAAGAGCCCCTGAGTTCAATCCCTGGTACAAAAAAAAAAGGACTCAGAAATTTCAAATTTGTTTTTTGTGAAAGAAAAAGAAAATCCTCTCTGATACGTTTCTCTTGGGACTGGCTGATGCCCTTGAAAACAGTAACAACAATTATAGTTTTTTTCTTATATATATTTTTTTAGTTGTAGTTGGACACAATGCCTTTATTAAATTATTTATTTTTATGTGGTGCTGATGATTGAACCCAGTGCCTCGCATGTGCTAGGTGAGTGCTCCACCACTAAGTCATAACCTCAGCCCCAACAACTATAGTTTTAAGAGGACAAAAATAAGAAATTAGGTGAAGAAATAAAAATATTCCTTCATTGAAATACATTTATGTTTAATACACAGTGCAAAAGCCAGACATCCTTCAGTCTAACAATTTACATTGTCCTTTTAGACCTAATTTGTACTGCCATCTTGTGGCAGTTTTTAAAATTCAAGTTAATTATTTTACTCAGAAGTAATCTTGAATTTCCTGAGCAGAAATTTTCAATGGCTTTCTGTTACTCAACTTTATTTTCCCATTATCAGTTTGAGAATAAAAATATCATTGTTGGGGGCTGGGGATGTGGCTCAAGCAGTAGCGCGCTCGCCTGGCATGCGTGCGGCCCGGGTTCGATCCACCGCACCACATACAAACAAAGATGTTGTGTCCGCCAATAACTAAAAAATAAATATTAAAAAATTCTCTCTCTCTCTCTCTCCCCCCTCTCTCTTTAAAAAAAAATATCATTGTTTTCAAACATGTAATATATGTCTTGAGATCTGGAGTAATTGTTTAGGGAAAAAAACAGTGAAATGATACTTTGTACAGAAAACCAGAAATCTGTTGATTTCTACACAGAATATGTTGACTTTTGACACCTTCTCCCCCTCCCCCTGTCTCACCAGCGTAAGAGTCTCTGGGAGTGCTCCTTCCCTGCCGTCCTCTGCCTCCCTAGTGGACAAATAATAAACATTAATAATACTTCCTGTTTCTTTGCAACTACACATTCAAGCATATATTGTTCTCCCAGAGTAGTCACACTAGTTCAAGAAAGATCCATACTTTACTACTTCTAAAATTAACATGATAGACACTGCTAATTTCATCCTTGAACACTTCTATTATTTCTATCCCTATCGATTCAGTGTCAGCTTCTAATATCAGGTCTCCATTGCCAAACAAACAAAAAAGGTCTGCAGGGCATCAAATAGTTTCTGCCAAAGCCAGGATAAGTTTCAGAATCCTGACTTAAATTGTTGCTTTCATTAAGCTTTAGAAATGAAATTTTGAAAAGAGAAAGTGAATATTACTTACTTGGCCCGCGCTACCAAAGCCAGCCACTCTATAAGGGAGAGACTCCACAGAGGAGGACCGACTATATAAGATGAGACAAAAAATTTGGTATTGAACTTTGACATGGACCCAAAGTCTCTTAAGTCCCAATCTGAGCCACATCTAGATATTTACTTCATCTTCCAACTTTTGCCAACAGTTTTTCATGTTGCAGTAAAGGTCTTATACTCACCTGACCACTTGGCTGCTATGCTGGAAACTGAGTCGTGGAGTAACTGAAAGAGAATAACATGCAGGATAAAAAGCTGTCATCACTAGTGCACGCTGCCTTGGTTACCTGGTTGTATGATGTTTTTCATGTCATACATAATATTAGGAAAATCACATTATGTTCTCTGAGAGAAAACCATTTTCCATATGAGAAAATATATTTATTCATCTCACACAGATATGTGGTCAAAAATATATTGTCTACCTGACTGTGATGGAGAAGTAATGCCCACTGGTCGAGGTGTGGTCAGCCTGCAAGCAAAAAGAGGTAGCTCTAATCTCACTAAGCATAAGTGTCATTTTAGAGGATCAATCGGATCATTGTTTATAGAAACAGTAACTTCCTCTCTGAATAGATTGTTTATCTTATGTATTAGAATTATCACTCCAAAATATGGAAGCAAAGCTTCCATGAGATCCCTTTATTCCCCAACTCCTAAGCAAGAACTTCTCCACTCCCCTATTCTCCATAGTAGAAGTTCTTCTGAAGTACTTGTTTTCTTCCTTTCCAGAGTGCCTCATCAAATACTGTCAACCTTACATCCTCCAACCCATCAAATCCATCTATCCAACAAGTATTTTTTATGTCGATATATATCCTAGAACTCAAAATTACAAAATAACTTGAATAAGATTCCTCTCTTTGAGAGACTCACAGGCTAATGAGAGATACTTTGTTAAAAAAAAAAAAAATCAGGGGCGTAGCTGGGGTTGTGGCTCAGCGGTAGAGTGCTTGCCTAGCACGTGTGAGGCCCTGGGTTCGATCTTCAGCACCACATAAAAATAAATTAATAAAAAATAGGTATTATGTCCAACTACTACAAAAAATATAATATTAAAAAAATCAGGGGCTAAGGCTATAACTCAGTGATAGAATACTTGCCTAGCATGCACAAGACTCTGAATTTGATTCTCAGGATAAAAAAAAGAATAAAAATAATGGGTGTATTGAAAGTACAAAAGAAAAAACACTAGGCAGTAACTTATGTGAGTGAAGGGTGTCATGTCTTTTTCATCCACCGATTCAGGGTTGGTATTCAAAATATTTAACAGTTGGTAGGACACCCATGTCACCAACTAAAAAGGACTAGTGCTGTAGACCCACCTAATATAGTACTTTAGAAAGAGTAGGCAGTGAATCAATATTTATTGAATGAATGAACACAACATCTAACTTCACCTAATGCAGTCTTTGCAGAGGATATTATGTGAGTTGAATTTTGAAGGATGAGTAGTGTGACTATCTTATGATAGTCAAGGGTATTACAATCAAGATTTCACTTTAACTAAACAAATTTCACTTCAGCACTTTTCAGTGAATAATTCTTTCTCAGAGAAATACGAGAGAAATTCAAGCACTTTTCAGTGAATAATTCTTTCTCAGAGAAATACGAGAGAAATTCATCAATCATTTTCTTTATCTTGAAGCCCACACAGCCAGGAGTCAAGAAAGAAGAGGCTCAAAGCTTCCTATCACAAGGAAATGATAAACATTTAAGGAATGGGAATTTAATTACCTTGATTTTTACCATTACACATTGTATAACTGTATTAAATTATCACACCCCATAAATTGTTTTACAATGGGTACAATTGTTATGTCAATTAAAATATTTTTTAGAAAAAAAAAAGTTTTCGAGATGGGGGGCGGGGCTAGTATAGTGGCTCATAAACTAACCTGTTTCCTTGGTACCGACTTGGAGATTCCTGTGGGTTAAAAAATGGGAAAAAGGAAGCTGAAGATCAAAGGTCCTAATCAATGTATCTCAGTCTTACTTGTTAGATAACTCAGATGCAATGTCTCTTAATTATGGCTGCTAAGGTTTCCTACTAGCTAGGAGAAAAAACAGGAGCAATGTTTCCTTAGGAAATTATTAGCTTTGATGAAATACAATGTTAGTTTTTCTTTATAAAAGCACACTGGGAATCCTAGAGACCAAAATATGTAGTGAAATATGGAGAGTTTCTAGGGACTGAAAGGAACATAAAATGACGACAATTTGCTAGATCAGTTATAGGAATGAGATCAACAAAATTATATAAATACATAGAATAGTTTTAGGAAAAAAAGAAATGTCTAGGGAGGGTTTGGGAGAAGAAGGGTCCTGAGGTGTCTTGGGCTTCTTCAAGTGACAATCTGAGCTGCAACAGATGTCTCTTTCATTTATAAGAAAGCTTCCTAATTGGTACGTCACAACTCATTAATCTTCAATGGGTTACAAGTGTACTAATATTAATACTTACATCCCTCTAAGGTCTCTGTAGCCTTTTCCTTTATTTCAGTGTGCTTGACACACAATATCAGTTTCCATGTGTGTCATCATATGAAAAAAGTTAGAATGCCCTATTTTATTATAGCCAGCTATATAGATAGATGCAAAAGCAGGAGAGAAAATAATAGAAAAGAAACTCTATTTCATTCACCTTTAGTAGGGCTAGAAATTTCTTCAGTTCTCCATTCTCCTTTCTTAAGGTTGACAGCTCTCTAGGCGAACAATGGAAATAATCAGCTCCAGGTCAGTTGGAGAAAAAGTCTTAATAACACCATCATCATCAACAACATCATCATCATCTAGTTAATGCTTACTAAGAGATACTTGAAGATAAACATGGCAAAGCTTTGATGGTGAAATAATCAAGTAGGCAAAAATAAGCAGTCACTTGATACAATTTCAGGGGAGTTACCACAGAATTCCATTTCTTCTCCATATATCCAATTATGTACCTGAATATACATTGGGCAATTTTCAGTCTTTGCAACCACAAGAAAATAAGGATGACAGTTTCTCTGAAAAAAAAAAAAAAAAAGCTATGTGGACATATGACTTGTCACTTACTTGTCCTGGCTGGCCACCGTTTGCTGTGCTTCCTGTAAGGATGCTTCTAACTTTGTAATTCTATGCTTATAAAAGGCGATGAGGAGATCTGTTTGTTTCTTCTGGAAACTCCACACCTATTAGGGAAAAACAGGTCTTTGACATCACTCCCATAACTTTCTTCCCCCCACTTCTGGCAAGAGAAGAAAATCCATCAATTCATACTTTATTATTGCTCTCCCCCCCACCCCGCCCTGGGATATCTGGTTTAATTCAAGACTCATCCAAACTAGAGAGTTCAGCACTAGAGAAAGCTGAAAGTTTTTATTTTCAGGACACTGGCTTTCTAATAATGAGAATATGGCCCTTTAAAAATATAATCATTCATCCTGAGCAAAAACTGTTTTTCAAGCTCAGAATCGGTTCTACCTTGCCTACAACGATGAGCTTGAACACTGGTAACCAATTTATATTCCCTAAGACACTTACACGGAGTCACTTGTGGGCTATTTATGCTGCTTCAGTAAAGGGTGAAGAGGCACCCAGGAAGTATCTATTCCTGAATCTTATTTCTGGGCATGAACATATAATTTTATTTTTTGTGTCACTTTAGCATTTGTTATACAATGTACCCATTGTGAGATTGCTGAATCAGATCTAAAGTTAATATTTAGAATGTGTTTTGGCTTTGTCAGGCTCTACTTTTGAGTACACAGCAGTAATTATGTCTCATCTGTTTCCTCCCTGCTCAGACTATAAACTTTTTGTCAAGGGTCCTTCCCTAGATCTTAGTACTCATCCCATAAACTTTTTTTTTTTTCATTTAATTTGCAATTTGATCTTGCCATGTCCCTACAGAATTATATTTATATAATCTCTAACTTAATCTTTCTTTCAGACTTAAATTAGTTATAGATAGATAAAAACTTATTGTGCACTACTTTATTTTTATTTATTTTTTTGTACTGGGGATTGCATCCAGGGGAGCTCAACCACTGAGCTACATTCCCACATCCGCAGCCCTTTTTATTTTTTGAGACAGTGTTTCTAAGTTGCTGAGGCTGACCTCAAACTTGTGATTCTCCTGCCTCAGCCTCCTGAGTTGCTGGGAATACAAGCATATGCCATCATGCCTGGTTCCAATTTTTAATTCAATTAGGAATGGAGAAGCTCTGTTCAATTAGTGACCAGATTTTCTTCCAATGGTAATGTGGTAATTATTTATATATTAGGGAAAAAAACCACATGATTTCAAAAGTCTTTTAAAAAAACATAAAGCTGGACATGTAGCACACACCTGGAATTGCAGCAACTTGGCAGGCTGAGGCAAGAGGATTGCAAGTTCAAGGCCAGCCTCAGCAATTTAGCCAGGCCTTGTCCCAAAATAAAAAATAAAAGGGGCTGAGGATGGAGCTGAGCAATAAAGTACCCTTGGGTTCAATCCTCAATACCACAAAACAAACAAACAAACAAAAAAACCCATAAAGTAGAACAGGGGTTAGCAAACTACTGACTGATGAATGCTTTGAACTGTGATAGAGATTGCATGGTTTAGGAAGCCTAAAATATTTACTAGCTTGCTGTTGTCTGAATGTTTGTGTCCCTCAAGATTCATAATTTAAAACCTAACCCCTGATATAACAGTGTGGGGTCTTTGGCCTATGATTAGTTCCACAGAGCAGAGCACTCTGAAATGGGATTAGTGCCTTAGAAAAGGGTTGAGGGATCCTGTTTGCCCCTTTTGCTCCTTGAGGATGCAGCAAGAAGGAGCCATCTTAGCAGAAAGTAGTGAGCCCTAACAATACATTGAATCTGTCGGGCCTTGATCTTGGACTGACCAAGATCTGTGAATGATACGTTTCTGTTGTTTATAAATTACCCAGTCTAAGGTATTTTATTCAGTCATACAAATAGCCTAAAATGGCCAGTGAAATTACATAATGGTATAGCCACTTGAAAGAATTGTTGGCAGCTCCTCAAAAAGTTAAACATAACAGCACAAACAGCTCTGTACTTGAGCAAGAGATTCATAAAAATATTAAACATTTAGAATGTTCCACTTGAAACAAATTCAATTACAGATCAAAATTTCAAAATGAAAAAGGTCTGTCTCAATTGGGGGACTAGATATATTCACAGATGGTTGGTTCTGGCCTGAAAGATGGGAAGGACTACATCTATTTCTGTAAAGAGATTTGTTCTTCTTTGATAAAAAGTCAACCATATTAAATGTTAGTAATATTCCACATCATGTACAACCACAAGAATGGGATCTTAATTAGAATAAGTTATACAACAATGTATGTATAATATGTCAAAATACACTTTACTGTAATGTATATCTAAAAGAACATATAAAAACAAACAAACAAATGTTGGTGATGAGGAAGAATGACTCACATGGTAAAAGAATCCTGTTTTTACCTGTATATCGGAAGCCACTCTGGACAGGAGCTATGTACACACCTTTAAGTCATGAGTAAAGGGGTGCTGAACAGTTATTGCACCCTGCAATGCACTGGATTTTTACCCCCCCCAATCTCAGATAATGAGTTGTGTTTCCAGGAGTGGGTGTCACCTGTTGGCGTTGAGTTATACTCACTTGTTCCTTTGTAATCCTACCCCTTTGCCCTTTTGGGGATAGAATGTTCCATGGAACCTCCCCTTGTGTATCCCCTGTGTAAAAATAAAGAATTCCAGTGGCTCTCTCTCTTTCCACGGACCTCTAAGGTCACAGAACCATCTCCAGATTTTTAAAAAGTACTTCTGTGTGTTGGCGTACTTTCTCCACCATTTTCTTAAGTTATTAGAATAATCAGATTTTGTGAAGCCAGCATAGGTCACCAGCTCGAACAGATGGTAATAACTATATTTTCCACTATATATATTTCATTATTTAAACCACATCTATCTATTTCACTCCATAAGTGAAACTATCAGAGTAGTCCCAATTAATAAATAAAAATATATCCTTGTATGTTTAAATTTTAAATAAGTCAAAGATGTATTTTTAGTGACTTGGATTCAGTTGATATCTTCAGGTACTTGGTAATATGTGTACTATGCTCACAGAATAAAAGATTCTGGAGACTGGGGTTGTAGGTCAGCAGTAGAGCGCTCGCCTAGCGCGTGCGAGACCCTGGGTTTGATCCTCTGCACCATATAAAAATAAATAAAGGTATTGTGTCCAACTACAACTAAAAAGTAAAATATTAAAAAAAAAGATTCAATAGCTGCAATTATTTTTCCATGCTATGGCTATCAGCGCCTATTCAATTATTGTTACATCAGATTTACATTAATATTTTTAGGGTGATGCAAAGTAATTTAACTTTAAAATTGTCCAATGAGCTGAGACAAACGGTATTTTTTTGTTTATTTCACTGACTTGTGAATTTTTAAATCTTATCAATAAAACATATGTTAAGTTACGGGAAAAAAAAAGTTAAGTATAAGCTGGGTACAGTGGTACATGCCTATAGTCCCAATATTTCAGAGGCTGAGACAGGAGGATCACTTGAACCAGGGAATTCAAGATAGCCTGGGCAACACAGCCAGACCTCATCTCAAAAAATAAACCAAAAGGGTAGGGATGTAACTCAATGGTAATGTGCTTGCATAGCATGAGTGAGGCCCTGGGTTCGATCCCTAGCATCATACATATACACACACAAAAAAAATGTTAAACGTACAGTTATCATTTGACCCAGTGATTTCACTACTATGTATCTACCAAAGAGAAATGAAAATATGCCAGGGATAGTTGCACACACCTATAATCCCTGCAACTTAGGAGTCTGAGACAGGAGGATCACAAGTTTAAAGTCTTAAAACAAAAAAATAAAGGACTGGGGATGTAGCTCAGAGATAAAGGGTCCCTGGGTTCAATCTCTAGTACAAAAAAAGGAGGTGAGGCTGGGATTATGGCTCAGTGGAAGAGCACTTGCTTAGCATGTGTGAGGCACTAGATTCGATTCTCAGTACTACATATAAATAAAGGTCCATCAAGGTCTAAAAAAATATTTGAGAGAGAAAGAAATGAAAATATACACTCATACAAAAGCTTTTAATGTTCCACAGAAACACTATTCACAGGAAAAAGTAGAAGCTACTCAAATATCGAACAGAAGGTAATAACTATATTATTATATTATTACCCATGGATGGATAAATAACATGCATACCAATCTATATAGTGGAATATTATTTGGCCATAAAAAGGAATAAAATATTAATGAGGCTGTGACATTATGAATAACATGCTTGGTTAATGCAGTCAGACACAAGAACACACAAGGTAAGTTGTTTTTTTTTTTAAGTACTGGGGATCAAACCCAGGACACCTTGCACCTGCTAGGCAACTACTCTACCTGTGAGCCTTATCCCCAGCCCATATAATTCCACATTTATGAAATGTCCTGAATAGTCAAATCTATAGGAATAGAAAGTAAATTGTCTGGGGTTGCAGAGGATGGGAAAGATTTGGGAAGTACCTGTTAATGAGTTTAGGATTTCTTTTGCGGTGATGAAAATGTTTCTAAAATTAGGTAGTAGTGATTGTACAATTCCATGAATTTATTGAAAACCACCAAATTGCATAATTTAAAAGGGCAAGTAAAAATATCTCAATAAAGCTGTTATTTAAAAAGTAGATGTATTTTATAATTCCCTTTGAAATTTATTTATTTTTTTTTTCTTTTGGAAAGCTTTATTGAACACTGAAAATATTTTTTATTTATTTTTTTTTCTTTTTCTTTTTTTTTTTTTATTGTTGGTTGTTCAAAACATTACATAGTTCTTGATATATCATCTTTGAAATTTATTTTAATATAAAGATTTCTTTTACTTATATGGTCTGTATTGTCCTGTGGGTTTATGATCTTTTATAACCTTCTATGAATTTTCCACATTACTTTTGAAACAAACAAAGTACTTGATAGTTTTCAGAATGCTTTCATCTCATTAGATAATTACCAGAGGTAGGATGAGGCTAGCACCTTATTCAATGATAGAACTTGTCTGGCCTACATGAGGCCCTGTGTTCAATCCCCAGCACCAAAAAGAAAGAAAGAAAAGGATGAATATTCTTATTTTACAATACATGTGAGGGAGTATGACTGGGTCAAAGAAATGAAAT